TGTAACGCTCATAAGTAATTTACGAGGAGTTCAAGCAGTTTCAATTCCCAAAAGAAATCCCCACACAAATCATGTTTATATAAGGAAAAGGAATTTGATAACGAAGGCAGATCATGAAATAGTCTGATTAGTCTGATATCAAGTGATAACCATGAGTGAAGTCAAACGAAGCGGCTCCATGGTAACCGGTTCAGTACAGGTCATGAATGACTTGAGCTGGGTCACAGTAGCTGTAATAATAGGAAGATTAGATAGAGGGATTTTGTCTATACAGATGTGCCCTAGACATTAAGGATTATTCACTTAATATACACTCTGAAATGCAATTAAAAACCAAAGTGGAGTGACTAACTTCTTTTCAGTGTCCTGACTTAGTTCTTTAACGGCTGTAGTTGTAGGCGCTGTTAAATACGTCAACTCTCGAATTTCACTTCAGGATCAATGAACTTCCGGCAGTAGAGCAGTCTACATCTGTGTGTTCATATTTTACGTCCATTTTGAAACTGTTCAGCTTATTAGTGTTAGTGAAGTAAAAACTGGTGGTTTCAGTTCTCTCGTTTACACTCTAAGCAACTACGTGCATTATCATGTACCAGGCGTATAATCGGACGTATAATCTCCCCATGGGAAGCGACGAATTGGACGTCCGAGGGTGACATGGAGGAGATCGTGCGAGGAGAAAATGAGAGCTTGTGGGCTGTCGTGGAACCAGGTTCAAAAGATCTCAGAGAACAGAGCGCATTGGAGATGTGCTACTGAAGTCGTATGTTTCATTAGGAACCCAAGGGACTAATAATAATGATAATAAAGGCGTATAATCAAACCTGTTGTTTATGTGTGTGAGCAAATGATGTTACTTGGTTGCTCGAACGTCAGTAGGTTTCAGTCCATGACCCACTGCTTAACAGTCAACTACCTAGACTCCATTTATGTAGCGCGGAGGAGTAGCACATCCTGATAGGTTGCTGTCAGACGCCACTGAGTATCGTGGTTAGGCGCCTAATGGATGATTTCTTACCAACACCCTCCACGCCACTAAAACTTCACGAGGAAGTTAGTGATGGAGATGTCACCAAGTCTGGTGATGAAACGTTCACGACAACATATCAGAGCTCAGTGCATTTTAACACGGACAACGAACAAGGTAAGCAGTAAAAGGTTCTAGACCGTCCATCCTCGATGTTTTCTTAGCATTGCTAATGTCTAGAAGGAGCAGTGGAAGGCCAATGTTAAGATGTAGCATAGAGATTTGGGCAAGGATGACGGGTCAGCTGACAGTATAGGTGCGAAACTTGAGCGCTGTGATAATACCATGTAACACCATATTATATTAGTTTATGTGATGTAGCACACAGTGACACAGTATTTTTTCTATAGGTTGACGTTTTGAGCACAATTTATCTCTCATAGTTATATCGAGGTAATCATGCGACTTTCCTCACTAGAATTTTGAAGTTCTGTGACACGTGGTAAACGAGTTAATAATGATAATATGGATAGTAATGTTAATACAGGCAGAAAGGATTTCAGGTGTTCTACTCTGTCATCGTATATATGGAAGGAATATCAGAAACTTTACATAGAATTCCCAACAAGGTTAGAATTAGGTGGCCATCAAATTTACAAACTGAGTCAGAGGTGAACGTCCTAGGCCTAGGGATTCTGTTGATCTGATTAAAGGCAGTTTCATTTACCAAGTATCATGCACTTACTACTAGGTCAAACCAGCCAATCGTGGTCACTTAAATTATTGCAGCAAAGGAATTTAGTGAAATGTAGAATGACAGACGGTACGAGAAGAAAACTCAGCAACTCCAACGCATACACTGGCATAAACTAGGTTGGGACAAAGCAAGTGTAGCAAGTTCAATATATTTAGTTGGAAAAAGAGACTGATTACTGAATCAACATCCAACACGTGTATTAGCAATGATGTAACATCCATACTGAAGATATGGGACTTTCATCACTACTAAAAACAGAGCACGAGGTGTAGGGAGGATCAAAACAAGAAATCAGGGGTTGTGTGATTACTTTGTTATGATTATTATCAAGTATTTATGCTCGGAAAGTCATCAAGTAAATAATACTGTATTCTTGCGTCCCATGCGAAAGTATACGTAAACAAGTGGATAGAAACAGAATAATATCATAGTAGAAGGAGTTACATGAGAGAATAGGCAGTTTGAAGATGTTATTGTAATTATTCAAGCTTTAGAAGTCAATGAGTGTGCTGTTGTGACCAATTTTCAAACACATTGGCAAAATTTCTCAACTACTAATCCCCACTGTCTGAAGGACCCCAACTAGGTAGTCTACATCTCCCAAAACTTGCTCAGGCCAACGGCCAGTGACTTTATCGACCGATTGGCACTCCGTTTTGGTCTGGCCACTCTGAATCCTCTTCCAACTCAATCTAGCTTTTCCTATCGTGGTACGTTAGATAGGTGGTGGCTGCGCATGCACTATACATGTCCAAGTCGTCTTCATCGATGAAGGTTCACAACCTTATCAACTGACTTGTCTATCTTGCCTAGTACCCCTCGCCTGCCCTCAACATTGTCCATACAGTGATTCTGCCATATGCGAGCAATGCTGCGAAAAAACCTGTGATCGAAAATCTGTAACCACTTCATGTCTTTTACTTTTAATGGCCATTTTTCACGTCCGTATAACGAACAGTATGGACTGCAGTGCAGTATGCTGGAACCGGTCAATCATAATATGAATGTACTATATGTGACACCACGGATTACCTCATGAGGCACTCTCATAACTTTAGAAGGATTGAGAAGTATGATTCATAGTTATCTAACTAGGCCAAAATTCAGTCTCAAAAGTCAATGAATGTTGTCTTGTAACCTACAGAGGAGGAGGTGTAGGAAACCAGTGAGTAGACAACGTGTATAGAATGACCTAAAATCTGTTGTCAAGACGCACCTCCATTCTCCCTTTTTTGTAAGTACATTGATTTCACGCATCGTTTTGTTCCGTCTCTTTTCTATCCCGACGTTCATATCATTACTAGTCCATGGATTGCAGTCAACTGACACCTAACGTTGAACTTACAGTAGCATAGTGTCCTGACGCGTGACCACATTACAGACTCAGTCGATGGACTTTGAGGAGTGCATGGAATTCTTTGCTATCTTGCAACAGATTAGTGTGTGTAATTGCTATAGCAAGATATAAACTGATATGGTGACCTCATGTGCTTAAAACTGATGACTTCAGTCAGACAGACAAAATTAACGTAGAATTTCGCATACAAATGCTCCTGAGGAAGAATTTGAAATTCCTGGTCGATGAAAAATTTTAATCTTTCAAAGACGTCAAGGAGTGAGTGCAGTTGAGTCATTGTGACTAAATTTCAGCCATGTTACCAAGAGTCTGAAAACATTAGTTCTTATTACCTCAAAGACATCAGTGAGGCAATCCAAACCCCTCTACCTGATGCAGTCCACCAGTGAAATACTTCATGGATTGGTGACTAGTTGTGATCTGGTCATAACGAACCTTATCACGGGCCAGTTAAACTTCTGATAACCTCAAACACCAGGGTGGGCGATGACTAAGTATGATGAACACATGTCCAAAGCATCTTGGTAGTCTATGGTTGACAACCTGAATAACTGACTGATACTTTTCTCCTAACCTGGGCATTGATCACAGGGTGATTCCAAGATACTTCAGAATTGCTGCGAAGACACGTAAGTTCGAAAACCCATAATCTGTTCAGCGACTACGTTTTGCAAATGTATAATAGTAATAGGACAGAGTGAACTGGAGTGCAGTATATTCGTTCTTTAATAGGTCACGCAAGCTGGTGAAAGCCTAAAGAGCCTTCTGTATCCGAACTAATGTTGCATCAGGAACTAGCCGGCTTGGACTGATGCAACTCGCCAAGTGACTGAAGTGACTAAAGCTTCCTGACACTTCATTTCCTAGTTTTTAAGATGGAATTAGAGCAAACAAATCCTAAAGTATCGTCTGACGTTCATAGATATAAAATGCACGTCAGTCATATCCAGATTTTTTCTCCATTCAGTAATCCTCATACACACATACGTGCCCGTAGCCATTTTTGATCGGAGTTTGAGTTTTTCATAGACGTACATATTGTCAAACACCACCATATCTGTTATCTCTATATTCCTGCAGACCTTATATCTATGAGTAAGAACTGACAGGTTGCTTTTGATGATATTTTCCTTTATAATGTCACCAGCCATTTTGTTTGTACAGAATACCTTTAATGTTTAAGCAAATATATCACTTTTGTGATGAATTACTGAATTTCTAAAAGCACACCAACGAGTACTGTTAAAAGGATAGTGACGTATAACGCACTTCTGTGGCAGTTGGGCGAAACCGTTACTGATTAGAGTCAAGCAGAAGACTGGTCAGTTTAAAAGCCTCTTGGTTCAGTTGATACAGCATAGGATCGTCAGCCCGAAGCCTGTTGATTGCAATTTTGAAGTGATCTGTGCTTTCATCTTCAAAAATAACCGGTATCGATGACATGAGTCTATCAAAATGCAGCAATATCGGTCCCATTGATAACATCTGAACGAAGTTGCTTTTATTAATCAATCATTGTAGTGCACTTAGTTAGACAGAAATTGACCCATCACATCAGGTCTCATGGTAGTCATTGACATGCACTTTATTCAATGTTTACAGCATGTGATAAAAATACTTGTCATTTTTCATAATGAGTCGTAATTACTTGTAAATTAGTGAATCAGCCTGCTCCAATCGATCATTTCTTAGCCTAGAATATATACTCACAGGCACGTGGATAGACCTAAGAATATTTTGAAGTTTGATATGTCATCTAATGTGTGCACTTATTCGATTTTCTCGCCTTACACATAAAAATACCCAAACAATTCCATGAGTTAAACATTTATAGTAATGCATACCATTGATAGGATTTTAAATAAAACTGATGCTCTCAGTTTATATTGCATAAAAACACAACCACTATTAACTTGCTAATGACAAATTCAGTATCACTGTGTTTACAGAGAGTGAGAGCCAAAAAAGTAAACTGTTTTACCAACCGTAGACTAACAAATAAAACAACTATAGCTAACAAAGTCATCTTTAAAAAGTCTCTACTAAATTCTGCATACAATAACTTGTCGTGGAAAGTAAACGACAGTGATGCGAAAACGGTATCATCAATTTGTTCCGTTCTATTACGAAGTGCTGGAAACTTTGTAAGTAGACGAAATCCATACTTTTTTTCTGTTTTATCTTTTCTCAGTGTTTATTTTTTTAAAAAATATAATATTTATTTATTCTTGATGCGTGGTGATAACTAAAGGTGAAAAGGACACCTAAGTGGTGTTTTTTTTTAAACAGAGTTCAAGTCTTGCTTTCATTTCACCTTCAGTCATTACCATTTCCGTATGAAAAAATCCCAATCTGTGACTCAGTGGCCTAGTAGATAACACTCTGGCGTTCGAAGCGATCTATCTTGAGTTCAAATCCTGATAGTGACAACACCACCCACTGGGAAGCATGTGTGTCCAACTGATGAGTCACAAAATGTGACGAAATGTATTTCCTGGATTCCTCTGCAGCCACTACCCATCATTACTATTTCTTTTGAAAAGTGAAATGTCGATCTGAAAAATCATGGTAGTCTGAAATGGTCTCATAACTTACATATTCTGTTTGGGGGGTTATGGAGATTTATTCATTGATTTCAGGTTGGTACTCATCATGAATTGATATCAGTTGAAGAAACATTGGAAGCTTGCAAGCACTGGGCAGCTATTTCATCGCAGAATGGGACTCTTCAGCTTCGAGAGATGGCTCTTAAAGTTCCAATGAGAAGTGTTCGGCGGGGCCAACCAAGTTAAATATGAGGACATTTACTTTACGACGGCTCTGGATGGAGGTCGTTCTATATTATGAACTGACAAAGGCAGAAAATATGGACCGCTGGAATCTGGTCAAGTGGCTCGATGGTAACGTGCTGGCCGTAGGACCTGAAGGTCCTGGAGTAGATTCCTGGTGGGGTCATGGGTGAGCACTCCTGGGGGATTCATGTTAAGACGAAGGAGCTGTCCAGTGCTCCCAGGTTTCCAATGTTTGTCTATATGATTTCAGTCAGTGATGAATAAAAGCCTGAAATTTATGTGTTCATTTAATGTGAAGTTCGAACTGCTCAGGACATTAATAATGACTATTATGGTGTAGGTCCTGAGAAACTAAAACTACTACTTTAATTCATAAGGTAAGCGAAAGATGTTCATGTGATAACTGAATAGAGATTATGTATGCTGCACCTATCACAGCTACAAAACAGAAAATCCGAGACGGTCAGACTTTCAGTAAAACGATAATCAAGGTGTTTACTTATAAACAGAATGCCATCCCCCGGTAAATGAATAGTTGAAATGTGGAGCCATTTTTGTGGTTTTCAAGTTTATTTCAGTAGGGTGACTGCATCATTTTTTAGTTTGAAGTAGGTAGGGTTGATTATACACCGTGACTTTTACAAAACGAGTTTGATCTTGATTATTGTCACGTGTGCTACACTTTCTGAGAACTTTTACGTATGATTTACGTCGAAACGTCCGGCATTACTTATACAGGCTTCAAGTCATGTTCAGCGGTGCTCTGGATAACAGTACACCTTGAAGTAGTTGAGTTCATCGAAAATTCCACTTTTCTCGAAGTTGGATCACCCGTGGTGGGTCTGCACGGATACAGAAGGTTGGATTGGCTTTTCCTAACTTTCACCGTCTGTGATAATGACGTGATATCCGTTTGTCGACTACGGGTCGAGTGTACTGCGTTGTAGTTCACTCTGTTTGCTGTATAACTGTGAAACATACCCATTAAAGGTAGAGGATATGAGAAGACCCAAGATGTTCGACCACAACTGCCTTCGTAACGAAGGCCATGTGTCACGGTGTTATCACGTCACTAATGCAGAAGTCACGTGTAGAGTTTCAGGCAGGAGGGGTAAGTCACTTCGTGAAGTTGTGACCCTTCATCGACTGAGATGGTTGGAACGTGTGTTACGCAGGCTTAGTTACCGACTTCCTCGTTGCGCAATGTTATTTTGAGTAGGTTCAGGCTGGGAATAAGTAAGGGTCAGTCGGATTAAAAAATGGCACCAGCGCATAAAGTCTTTAACTGCTGGTTGAGCCATATAGGGAGAAGCAACCAGGTGGTTAGGGTGCATGTGACCATAGACACCAGTATTTGGAGGTTCTTGATGTGGCTCAGAATCGATGTCAGTAGAGCAAAAATATCCGCACATTATCGATCTTCGTGTTAACTGTCATGCCTAATTTCAGTACTGTTTCACTCCCTTTATTTCGCTTTTACGGCGTTCTACAACTTTTCGCTGTTTTCTTCTCATTTTTGCAGATACTATCTTGCTCCTTCTCGCTTGATGTGCTGGTATAAGTTGTGGCAACCTGAACCATTAGGAAATAATGCCAGGTTGCAATTTGATATTGACTGACTGATAGGAAGAAAGAGAGAAAGAGAAACTTTCTAACCCCATCATAGAATTCATGGCAAAAATACTGGTGATGACCATAAAGGGTTATATACCAAGGAAGATATAGTCAGTATAGCCAAAACAACAAATTTATGATGAAATGTTCTTCTGCAAAGATAATCCTTGTTTGACTCCTCGCTGTGATATAATCTGGTTATTTCTAATACGCTAAGCGTTTTGGTCCACAACTTCTTATGGTTAATCATCTGTCTCAATTTTCTCCTAAGACACCAAACTATGTACTACTTGGATACATTCTCATGAGTAGTACACATCGCAGTAGAATACTGGATTCCATATTGATTGCATTCATTAGTTAAAGCGTGCAATACAGTAGTACTTCTTGGACGACTTTTCAGGCACAAATAGTTGTCTTAACTTCATTACTGTAGTCTCACCACTTCTTTTTCTTTGATATTATTAGTTATAGAACCTCCCAAACATCTGGCATTGGTGTTGAAATATGAGCGACTGATTCAGTGAACTAGGATTAGGTAACCAATCAGTGCTGCTAGTAAGCTTCTTCAGTCTTTAGGATTGTTACTCTATTTTAACTTCCTTTTTATTGTGTTTGTCCATCGGTAGCATTTAGTGAGCGTTTTCATGTTATACTTAGTGAAATGCATCATAAGCATTCCTAGTTCAGATGCATTCAGTTTCGTTTACGCGTTGTTGTGAAAGTCGACTGAATAGATATATAAGATAAGATGGATTCGCTGCACTTGGTTTGATTCTCTTTAGACACACAAAGGAGCATCAGACTAATCACCCAATGAACAAGTGAGTATAGATATGGTCACAAATTACCAATACAACTGTTGGGAAGTAACACTGAAAAAACCTAGTTGAAAGGATTCTCTTGTACTTAGATATTATGGAGTAAATTCAGTCGAATGTTATCTTTCCATCTTTTCAGCATAACTGCTTTGAAATATACATGGATGCTTATCTGCTCTTGTTTGCATTTCTAGTCAATGAGTTGTAAAAGCAGTCGTTTCAGTTTCATTGTTGGGAATACAGAGTTGAGTTTCGCTTCTAGCTATGGGTTGATCTTGTTCATTGACTTTCCGGGTGTATGTAAACGTTCTCTCGTATCCATTTTCTGCTTCAGTATGGAAAGTTCTACCATACTTCTTGATAAATGTTTGGTAGAACTGTGGTTCTTTGATTTACGTGGTTAACTTCCTATCGGTAAGTCACTTATCCGTATGCAACCTCACCTACCGACAGTAGTCTGATAATGTTGTAAGCCCTTACACAATGCTCAGGTCATCAGCATCTTACTAACCGAGTTGAATAAACCAGTTTAACCATAATAAGAATAAAGTTGCAAATTGCTTGGTGTAATACATATGGTAAGAATCATTCTCTAGTGTCGTATACTACTACTACTAGACGCCATGAGTAGTTTGTAGCAGCTCACTCCTGATTAGACATCTGCCATTGGGAGCACCATCAAAATCGCTAGTGCACAAGTAGAAAAACGGCTGCTCTGCTGTGAGAAATTTAACTTGAATCATAAATAGTTTGGAAAATCCATCATTAAAATCTTCTCGGATAGTGTGGAGTTTTTCTTGATTAACTTATTTTTGTTAAACTAAACATTTTTGCCGCGAAAAATGAGCTTACTTTATGTTCAATAATCAATTACTTCTTTCCCTTAATAAATACAAAGCCAAAGAAAGGAAATGATGTTGTATTATCAATAGATGAGGTCTCATGTGCATTCAACAAGAAAGCTGGTGAATGTTCAGGTCGACTGGGTGGACTTCAAGAGCAATATGCACACAATCGTATTCAAAGTGTCCAGTATAATCAACCTGAAGAAGAACAGAAATACACTGGCAGTGATGAAAGTCATCTGGATGTTAGTGAACTTGATAAGGAGAATATGAATCTCAGTCGAAGACGTAATACGGTTTGCAGTACCACCTTTAAATCACTTAAGAACCGCGGTCTAATGGAATTAGGGCAAGCAAACAAAAATAAAGATGAGAACCTAATGAAAAATTCAAATTTAGGTAATCCTTCGTGATTTGCAATTGTTATTTATATTTTGTAGAATGAATTTTGTAAAACAGTTTGGTATGATTAGCCTGTTGTCTTGATGGATCGGTGTTGTAAATTACTTATATCAAGTGGTGATAGTATTTTCAAAGCAGACATTTCATCTTCCAGATTGGACAAATAAGGTGTGTCATGTCAACGGAATGATAGATTGATTATCTCCGTTTTAGTTTGAGATTGTAGCCTGTAGTCAAAATTATAGTGACGAAATGCATACTCCACACACGGGGAACAATTCGAAATGTTTTCTTTCGACTGGTTTTAGTGTGAGCCTAACTCCTCACTGGTTCTTTTCTGTGAGCTCTGAATTGAGTGAGATCTCGAGCTTTCCCTTTATTCGATAGACAGATGGGCAGAAAAAAATGAAAGGAGAACCTCATAAACAAGTGCATCAATTAAATTTGCCACACTTCATAGTAGCATGCAAATAAAAAATGAAGAGAAAAAGAGCGATGTCTAAGTAGAAGTTGTATGAGAGAAGAAACAATTCGAAGACAAAGATTAGTGGAAATATTCAAGCTTTACAAGATGTCAGTGAGTGAATAAACCTGTGCTATATTGACCAATTTTCAGGCTTATCACTAAGACTCCTCAACCACTGATTCCTATCATCTCCGGGACCCCTTCACGACCCAGACCAACAGTCAGTGACTTCATTAACTGGTACCACGTCTTGGTCTGGTCACCTTGAACTCTTTTTCAAATTAATCCAACTTCCCTAGCATGGCATGTCGAGGTAGGTGGTGGCTCAGCATATACAACATACCTCCAAGCCACATCAGTTGGTGAAGAATACCAAACTGATCAATCGAATTGCCTGTCTTGACTAGTACCCTTCTCCTGAATGGCCTTGGTTGAGCAGCAAGGATGTCACCCTTACTAATGTGCTATTTAAAAGCAACTGGGATACCTTTACATAAAGAATGTAAGATGAGACGTTCACTTATTTTTATTTAGATAGAATTTTTATATTTTTATCAAAAGAAACTTGGGGTCCAACCCTCAACTAGTTGAAGCAATTTCCATCTTAGTGGAATAGTGTGAAACCAAATGATATCAAAAAAAGTAAAAATCCGTTCTCTGTGATCCATGATGATCTGATGTCAATATCAGTGCGAAATTGTCTTACTTGTTTTGCTTCATTTGCCATTGTATATCTTTTTATGTACATTGTTCTCTGTTTATAGAAATGGATCTACAAAGTATAAGCACAAAACATGACCGTTAACTTCTGCGTGAAATGTCACTGCGTGCAATATCAAATGGAGTTTGTAAAAAGTCTCCAATTATCCCTGCATGACCCATTGTTTCATGTTTGTTGGCATTCGTCAGAAAAGTGTGTTTGGAACCGAAAGAAAATTATGTCACACAGGTATTTATGACCAGTGACTCACTAAAACCAAGCCCAATGAACCATCAAGTTGTGTCGCTCTAATTAGTGATCAGATGGAATCGTTTCGTTGATAGACTTCAATGAGAACCTAGAACTACATTAGCACTAGATTACTCAGTATGTGGTAATCTGGTTTCACTTTTGCGTAGCTGTAGCTTGAATAACTTGACAACAGCCTCTTTCATAGTGGTTCTGACCGTTAAAAGGTTGAGTTTAGATGCTGAAAATCTACCTCGCTGATGTGTATTACTGAACACTAAAAGTTCATAAGATACATTTTTCTATCACTGAAGTTCAAATATTAAAGAAACTTGTGTCTTTATCAAGTAGTGATAGGTAGATTTTTATAGCTTTCGGCATAGTCGCCCTTCCCAGTTAGTTATTTTTCAACTGGAACACAAAATGTCAAACAGAAGAATCCACTACAGTTCAACCTGAAACTTCCTATCACTTGTAAGCAACATTCAATTTGACTCCAGTTTACCATAGCTACGGTATGTGTTTCGCAATATTATTGTTCCCTCTTAAGACACTGTAGAGTTCTTCAAACTGAAGAAATCTATTATCTTTGCGGTCTAATCAACCTAAACTGTTTCTGTCAAGCAGGTGGAAAGTAAACACTGAGTCGGTGATCGCAGTCTTTTCAAATTCATTCAGTTCAGAGCTTTCTGAGAATTGATTGATTTCTAACATCTTCATCACAGACTGGCGCTAGTTAGAGAAGCATTGGGCTACTGTTTAAAATCAAGCGTAAACCAACCACTGACCACCTGTAGAGCCCCATAATTAGTGGCTTTAATCCTTGATATGGTAGAGGTCTACAGTGAATGCACTCCGCTTGTTTCAGCTATGCGAAACGCAACATATTGAGTTATGGATGTTTTACAAGTGTGATGACGTATTCAAGAGTAGACTGTGTGTAAATTAACTCAAAATTTAGATACACTATAAATTAGAAGATAATCACTATAATAGCTCAATAATGTGTAACGTTGTGGAGTTATGGTTTCGGTGAATGCTCATTTTCTATGATAACAGAAAGTTGAGAATAGTGTCCATCAATTTTATCTTTCTGTATGTTTATGCTTCTCTGTTTTAGATAACTCCAAATCGATTGCTGATCCAGTTGCTGGGTTGATGCAATTTCGAAAACTAACAATGAAGAAAAATATTCATCTTTCCATAGAAAGTAAGCACAACCCGTGGAGAAAAGACAGAGTTATTTAAAAACGTCTGAATCACGACGTAAACAAGCTTGTCAAATGAGAAAAATGACAGGTAGCCAGGAAAATGACAAATATTTTCGTGATGAAAGTGTAACAATCGAATGGTCTATTCTAGAAAGTACTAAAATGTTAATCGCCTTATTTTTCAATGAATCGCCAACAATCCTAGAAAAGGGGATTAGAGATGAAGCTACCGAAATGAACATTAAAATTCGAAAGAATCAGTTACCCATAGAAAAACAAGAACAACGAAAACAGCAGGCTTGTGACACTGATGGTCCTTGTCTGTCTATCATTTCACTGCCACGATCTCCAGTTGATGAGTTGGATTTGGGTGAATTTTATTTGAATCATGACCGTGTAAGTTTAAGGTTGTTTTTTCTCTCACGTCAAGTGATGATCAAGCCCCAGGATACTTTTTAAATTTACATTCTTCTGACAATAGGTAGACATCAGAAGATACATCCCATTCTGATGCATCAGAGATTATGCAGAGTTGAACAGACATCCAGGTATTTGTATCATGTTTTTAGGATGCCAACAAGATATATTCACGTAGTTCAATGGTTCTAAACATTACGAGATAGTTCTACTGAAAACTTCTGGGAATAGTTCAAACAACTGAAAGAAAAAACTACTTTTTGTGTTAAACGAAAGAAAATTAATAGTTTGCTTCATTGATTGATGAGGTTATCATTGATGCCAGACAAAAGAATGTCTCTCACACAATAATATATACCTGTATTCACAACAGCACAGGTATAGTAGTATCAAAACAGATAACCAATAGACTTGTTCTGTCGTCATAGTAGCATCGATAGTTGATGGAAAACAGGAATGCTATGACGATACATGCCCACAAGTACTTTACGGAAAATAAACTTGGCCTACAGACAAATAACTTCGTTAAACCTACTGGCCGGGTATAGAGTAAATGTAAGGGACACTATGGTAGCGTCTGAAATAATCAGTTAATTCTTTATATTTTGGCTGAAAAGGCAGTTTTTTTATAGAATAAAGGAAACCAAGTGATGGGATGGTTTTTTGCGTCACTTTCTGGTCTTCTAATTGCCTATTTTATACTTGTATAAAAGAGAGGCTTCAAAGGCTACCCCGTTTATATGTTTCTATTTTAGCGAATCCCAGAAATCACCATATTCACTAATTTAGCTCCTTTATTTAAGGTAGAAGGGTAGTATTATCATTGCATAAAGAAACCCGATTAGTTTTTCAGTAGTTGCTAGGATGACTTACATAGAAGTGATTAGGTAACCGCATATTAACTTATCTGAATTCAGAATGAATAGTCCTTATTTAGATCAGTTATTCACAAAAATGGGCTGATGAGATGTTTGCAGTGTGACAAAATCACACAGCACGCTGGAATAGATCATCGATCCTGAAGGTCAGCGTCGTTTGGTGTAGGCAAAAGATAGACAGGCAGACAAACGGATACCTAAATAATGATAGTCGAATAAATACTTATTCTCGAAATATGTAGAATTTTATCGCCATGCAGATCGAGGTATGGGGACTAATAGAACAATAAAAGTCAAATACCGCAAAAAATATGACTATTTATACACGCTTCAATTATTAAACTAGAATACGATTGTTTAAATAGTTAGTTAGTTAGATAGTCGGTTAGTTAGTTAGTTAGTTAGTAAGTCAGTTAGTTAGTGAGTTAGTTTCTTAGTTAGTTAGTTAGCTAGCTAGTTAGTGCGTTAGTCAGTTTTTAAGTTATTTAGTTAGTTAGATAGTAAGTTAGTTAGTCAGTCAGATGGTCAGTTAGGTAGTTAGTTAGTGCGTTAGTCCGCTTGTGAGTTAGTTAGATAGTTAGTCAGTTTGTAAGTTACTTAGTTGCTTAGTTAGTTAGTTAGTTAGTATGTTAGTTAGATAGTGAGTTAGTTAAATAGTTAGTCATTTTGTAAGTTAGTTAGTCGGTTAGTCAGTCAGTTAGTGAGTTAGTTAGTTATTCAGTTAGATAGTCAGTTAGTTAGTTGGTCAGTTAGTTAGTTGGTTACTCTGTTATTTAGTTGGTTAGTTAGTTAAATAGACAGTTAATTTGTTAGTTAGTTAGTTGGTTAGTTATTTAGTTAGCCAGTTAGGTAGTTAGTGATTTAGGTAGTCAGTTTTAAGTTAGTTATTTAGTTAGATATTTAGTTATTTAGTAAGTTAGTTAGTCAGTTACTGAGTTAGTTAGTTAGTTGTTTAGTTTGTGAGTTGGTTAGTTCGCTAGTTAGATAGTTAGTTAGATAGTGAGTCAGTTAGTTAGATAGTTAGTAAGTTAGTTAATCAGTTAGTCATTTAGCTAGTGAGTTGGTTAGTGAGCTAGTGAGTTAGATATTTAGTTAGTTATTTAGTTAGTGAGTTAGTTAGATAGTTATTTAGTTAGTTAGTCATTTAGTCATTTAGTTAATCCGTTAGTTAGGCAGTTAGTTAGTGAGTTACTGAGTTAGTTACTTAGTTCGTAAGCTATTGAGTTAGTTAGTCAGTCAGTCAGTTAGTTTGTTAGTGAATTAGTTAGTTTGCTAGTTAGTGAGTTAGTCAGTTTGTTAGTTAATCAGTTAGTTACTTTGTAAGTTAGTTAGTAAATTCGTTGGTCAGTTAGTCAGTCATTTATTCAGTCAGTTTGTAAGTTAATTAGTTACTTGGATAGTTAGTTGGTTAGCAAGTTATTTATTTAGTTACTTAGTTAGTGAGTTCTTTTTTTAAGTTAGTTAGTTACTTAGCTAGTCAGCTAGAGAGTTAGTTAATTATTCAGTTAGATAGTTATTGAGTTAGTTAGTTAGTTAGTGAGCTAGTGAGTTAGTTAGTTAGCTATTTAGTTGGTGAGTTTGTTAGTTAGCTAGTTAGATAGTTAGTTAGATAGTGAGTTAGCTGTTTACTTAGTTAGATAGTTAGTAGTTAGTTAGTTAGTTGGTTAGTAAGTTAGTTACTCAGTTAGTTAGTTAGTGATTTAATTATCCAGTTAGTTAACTAGATAGTTAGTTAGTTAGCTAGTTAGTTGGTTAGTTGGCTAGATAGTTAGTTAGTTACTTATTGATTTAGTTAGTTAATTAGTCAGTTGGTCAGTTAGTTATTTAGTTAGCTAGTTAGTTGGCTAGTTAGTTAGTAAGTCTTTTAGTCAGTTATTTAGTTAGTTAGTTGGATAGTTAGTTAGTCATTTTGTCAGTTAGTTATTTACTTAGTTATTTAGTTAGTCAGCTGGTTAGTTACTTAGTCAGTTAGTTAGTTATTTGGTTATTTAGTCAGTTAGTTAGTTATTTAGTAAATTACTTCGATAGTGAGTTAATTATTTAGTTAATCATTGAGTTAGTCAGTTTCTTAGTTAGTTATTTAGTAAGTGAATCAGTTAGTTACTTATTCAGTTGGTTAGTGGGTCAGTCAGTTAGTTAGTTAGTAATTTAGTTAGTCAGTTGGTAAGCTATTTAGTAAGTTGGTTAGTTAGTTATTTACTTAGTCGGTTAGATATTTAGTCAGTTCGTTAGATTGTTAGTTAGTTCCTTAGTAAATTAGTTATTTAGTTAGTTTTTTAGTCGGTTAGTTATTTAGTTATTCAGTTCGTCGGTTAGTTAGTCAGTTAGTAAGTTATTTAGTTAGTTAGTGAGCTATTCAGTTGATTTGTAAGTAAGTAGGTTAGTTAGTTAGTGAGTCAGTTAATTAGTTGGTTAGCTAGTGAGTTTTTTAGCTATTTAGTTGGTTACTTAGTAACCTATTTAGTAAGTTAGTCAGTAAGGTAATTATTCAGCTACTTAGTTAGTGAGTTAGTTAGTCATTTATTTAATTATTGAGTTAGTTAGTTGGTGAGTTATTTAATTAGTCAGTTAGTTACTCAGCTTAGTTAGTTAGTCAGTGAGTTATTCAGTTTATTAGTTTGTTAGTTAGTCCTTTAGTTAGTAACTTAGTTGGTTAGAGGGTTAGCCAATCAGTTAGTTAGTTAGTAAGTAAGTTTTTTAGTTAGTTATTCAGTTAGTCAGCGAGTTAGTGAGTTAGTTATTTAGTTTGTTAGCCATTCAGTTAGTTAGTCAGTTAGTAAGTGAGTTAGTTAATTAATTATTGAGTAAGGTAGTTAGTTGATTAGTCATTTAGTTATTTAGTCAGTAATTTAGTTAGTCAATGAGTTAGTTTGTTAGTTAGTCATTTTGTAATCTAGTTAGTAAGTTAGTCAGTTCGTCAGTTCTTTCGTTCGTTAGTTAGTCAATTATTTACTTATTTAGTTAGTTAGCTAGTCAGTTAGTTAGTTAGTTAGTGAGTTTGTTAGTTAGTGACTTAGTTAGTTCGTTAGCTATTTTGTTAGTTACTTGGTAAGTTATTTAGTAAGTGATTCAGTTAGTTGGTTAGTCAGTTAGTTAGTTAGTTATTTGGTGAGTTAGTCATTCTGTTAGTTCTTTAGTTAGTGATTTCGTTAGTTAGCTAGTAAGTTAGTCAGTTTGTAAGCTAGTTAGTAAATACATTAGTTAGTTAGATAGTCAGTTAGTTAGTTAGATTTTTTTTTTGGTTAGTCAGTTAGTGAGTTAGGCAGTGTCTTAGTGAGTAAGTGAGTTAATTAGTCAGTTCGTTTGTTAGTTTATTAGTTATTTAGTTCGTTATTTAGTCAGTTAATTAGATAGTTATTCGGTTGGTCAGTTATCCAGTTAGTTAGTGATTTAGTTAGTTAAATAGTTAGTTAGTTAGCGAGTAATTTAGTTAGTTAGTTACTTGGTTTAGTCAGTTAGCTAGTGAGGTAGTCAGTCAGTTATTTATTTAGTTAGTCAGTTCGCAGTTTAGTTTCTAAGTTAGTTAGTTAGTTATTTAGTCAGTTAGTTAGTCATTTAGTTAGTAAGTTTATAATTTAGTTAGCTGGTTAGTTAGTTAGTTAGTCAGTTATTCACTTAGTGAGTTAGTTAGTTAATTACTTGGTTTTTCAGTTAGTTACTGAGTTAGTGGGTTAGTTAGTTAAATAGTTAGTAAGTTATTTAATTGTCTAGTTATTTAGTTACTTAATCAGTGAATTAATTAGTTAGTTAGTGAGTTAGTTTTTTGTTTTTAGCTATTTTGCTTGTTAGTTAGTTATTCAGAATGTTTGTCAGTTAGTTATTTAGTCAGTTAGTCAGTTTGTTATCAAGTTAGTTAGTCATTTATTTATTTAGGTAGTCGGTTAGTTAGTTATTTAGTCAGTTATTCAGTTAGTTATTTAGGTAGTTAGTCAGTTAGTTAGAGAGTTAGTAAGTTAGTTAGTTAGCAATTAGTTAGTCAGTTACTTAGTTAGTTAGTCAGTTAGTTGGTCATTTAGTTAGGCAGTTTGTAAGTTAGTTAGTAAGTTAGTTAGGTAGTTAGTTAGTCAGTCGGTTAGTTAGTTAGTTCGTTAGTTATTTAGTCAGTCATTCAGTTAGTTATTTAGTTGCTTGGTCAGTTATTTAGTCATTTTGTTAGTTAGTTAGTTAGTCAGCTAGTTGATTAGTAATTTAGTTAGTTACTTGGTCAATTATTTAGTTATTTAGTTAGTTGTTCAGTCATTTTGTTTGTTAGTTATTTCGTTATTAAGTGAGTTAGGCAGTGTTTGTGAGTTAGTTGGTTAGATAGTGAGTTTTTCAATTAGTCAGTTGGTTAGTTAGTGAGATATGTAGTTCGTTATTTATTTAATTAGTTAGTCAGTTTGTAAGTTAGTTAGTTATTTAATTATTTAATGAGTTAGTAAGTTAGTTAAATAGTTAGTTATTTAGTTAAGTCAGTCGGTTATTCAGTTAGATGGTGAGTTAGTGAGTTAGCTGGTTATTTAGTTAATTAGTGATTTAGGTAGTTAGTTAGTTAATAAGTTAGATGGTGAGTTAGTTAGTGATTTAGTTAGTTGATCAGTCAGTTAGTGGGTGCGTGAGTTCATTAGTTATTTAGTTAGTCAATTAGTCCGTTAGTTCGATAGTGAGGTATTTATTAATTTGATTAGTCAATTACTTAGTTAGTTAATTAGGGAGTTAGTGAGTAAGTTAGTTATTTGGTTAGTCAGTTTGTAAGTTAGTTATTAAGTTAGTTATTTAGCTCTCAGTCAGTCATTTAGTTTGTTAGTTGTTTAGTTAGTTAATTTGTTTGTAAGTTAGTCAGTTAGGTAGTGACTTAGTTCGTTAGTTATTTAGTCAGTGAGTTAGTTACTTGGTCAGTTGGTGAGTTATTTAGTTGTGAGTTGGTTATTTATTTATTTAGTTAGTCATTTAGTCAGTTAATTATTTAGTTAGTGAGTTGGTTAGTTAGTTTGTTAGTTAGTGAGTTAATCAGTTAGTTATTTTTTAGTTAGTTTTTTCTATAGTGAGATTATTATTTAGTGATTTAGTGAGTTAGTTAGTTGGTGGTTTAGTCAGTTAATTAGTTAGTTTTTAAGTCTGTTATTTAGTTATTTATTTTGTCAGTTAGTTTGTTAGTTAGTTAGTAGGTTGATTAGTAAGTTAGTTAGTTATTTAATTATTTCGTTAGTTACTTAGTGAGTTCGTTATTTAGTAAACCAGTTAGTTAGTTGGTTCGATAGTGAGTTAGTTAATTGGTCGGTTGGTTATTTAGTTAGTTACTAGGTTAGTTCGTTATTTATTCAGTAAGTTAGTTAGTTAGTCATTTAGTTAGTCCGTTTTTAAGTTAGTTAGTTAGTTAGTTAATGAGTTAGTGACCTAGTTAGTTAGTTCGTTAGTCAGTTAGCTAGTGATTTATTTATTTAGTTAGTTAGCGAGTGGGTTAGTTAGTTAGTGAGTTAGATAGCGAGTTCGTCAGTTAGTTAGTTGTTTAGTGAGTTAGTTAGCTAGTGAGTTGTTTAGTTATTTACTTAGTTAGTTGGTCAGTTATTTGCTCTTTTCCGTGTAGCAAAGTATGATTTCTTGTGTGGATGCAGATGTCAGTCATTCTGAATAGGGCTATTATTTATTGGTGTGTTCCAATGGAAGTAGTTTTTTGCAAAAGGACATTAACTAAAGAAGAATTAAAATTGAAGTTACAGTGTTTAATTTTTCGCCTTATTTTGTTTGTCCTTAGAAATGTATCCGCACTACTTGGTAAGTAGTTGGAGCCTTCAAGTCTAGCGATGATATGATTACCATTCAGTCGTTGATTGAATATCCCGCGGTTGATGTTTTCAGTTTTTTCAATCTGCTTTTAGTCTGAATTCTTTCTGATTACCGGCTTAGCTGATGGTATAGGTCACACTTTCTAGGTAAAACTCTGGAAATTCAGTCTTAAAGTAATGCAATGCCATGCACTGGATTTCGCTCACTTTAGAGGTTTGTTAGTTTGAAATGGTTTGCAGTCAGGCAACAATCGAAAATCAGGGGACGACAGACAGTTGCCTCATCCCAGTTTGGAAGAGAATTAAGTAAAATATTTACTACTTGAATAATTCTTAATCAAGATACTAACCAAAATGCCATTAATAACGCTCCTGGAAAGAAAGTCAACTGGATAGCCCCTTTCACCGAAAGAACAAGACTAGAATTCATAGGTATTTCTCAACATTTTGAAGAGTTGAGGAGTAGGATTTCCTTGGGTCGACAAAAGGGTAAATGACGAGAAGCAAACCAACCTACTCGTTACTTAAATAAAGAAATGGTAATTCATGGCGGCGCCTGATAGCTGCCCATGACAACATTATTTGCTCCATTACTCATTTTGACTTAGTGTTTTTGATAACAAGTGATTACGGTAATTTCAGTGTCATCAGAAAGCAGGTGAAGACTGACAACCCTCTTCATTTTATGACAGAAATGAACCCACCGTATCCCGTTATTATGATCATTTTCTTGCCTGAATTTTGTTGAATAGAATAGGTTTTTAAAAAATAAGTTTGTTGAAAGGAAATTTTTATCGTGAACTATAGCGTCAACCTGGAAAGCTGTAGAAATCCAGCAGGTCTGAATAGATGTTTTCTTTCCACTGACTACTATTCATTAGAGGACACTGACGACTCATGTTCATGCCTATCGATGACACTACACAATGTTTGCATGATTTTAGGAAATAATTGAGGCTGAAGGATGTGAATTACATGATTCCTAACCATTAGCCTGAGAATACGAGGACTGTTAGTCTTAGGAGAGATGTCAAGTCACAGCGTGCGGGTTCATTGCTTAAAATTGCCAAACACTAAACTAAAAAGTTGTTATCAATGGCTCTTTAAGCAATATCGGTTCGGGATAATTTCTACTTCTTACTGAAACTATTTAAACGGTTTACTTAGGGGTAAAGATTTATTGTCACTGTGGTTCAAATTGCAATCATTTAGGCTAAACGTGGTCTAATATTGACTGTGAATGTTTCTACAACTTACACATTATATTATTATCATCATTATTACTATTGCTACTAGTCTCAGACATTATATTTAATCTCATTTATAAGAAGCGTACAGCTCTACACTAATTTGAACAAAAGCTGATCATTTGTTATTGGGAGCAGCTTTTTAATTTCCCTTTAGTAATACTACAGTAACTATTAAGGTCGCCCTAGTAATGACTGGAATAACCAATTGGATTTCTCCATTTCGACTGGAAAGGTAGTTTTTTCATAAAATACTGAGCTCTTATTGGTTACTTCAGTAGTTGTTAGGGTGGCCTTTACAGTCTATCTTAGAATCAGCGAGAGTTATAATAAGTTCACTGATCAAAATATTAGCATTTATCATATCGCATTAAATACTGAACATGTACAGTTGAACTGTTTAATGTACCATATTTGTTTCAATATATATATATGACTTTCTTTATTATTCTTTTGCTCGACTGTGAAACGATTACTCATTTCAATACAGGTTTTTCGATACTTATTCACCCAAGATTTAAAATCAGTGTCATACTATGAAGCTGACTTCTTAAAACGTCACCGTCTAACAGAGTCGGTTAGAGCAACTCTCTGTGATTGGATGATAAAAGTGAGTTTAATGAACAATTATCTAAAAATAAGAGTAAAATCATTTAAATATTATTATTTGTCTGTTGGGTTCCTGGTGGAATATAGGGCTTCAGTAGAACGTCTCTATTCCACTCTGTTCTCTGTACTCTTTTGAACCTAGTTCCATGTCTACGCAGAATTTCTCATTTCTTCCTCACAGGATCTCCATGTCACTATCGGACGCCTAACTCGTCGTTTGCCATTTGGGTTCCACTCGAGGGCCTGGCCTGGTGTGCGATCTCCCCGAATGGTCTTCTCATTGTATGTTATTCCATCTCCACTTTCTTCTGCATATTCGTTGGGCGAGAGGTTCTTGCTTCGTAGGTTCGTCACCAACCAGCCAGAGTTCCTTCTTGCTTATTCTCATTATTCTGGGTATCTCATCTTCAGTATCGAGTGAGTGTAGGTGGCAGCTGTTGATGTATGTCTCTAGTTTGTTGGAATTGCTTTTCGTAACGTGCCAAGTCTTTCAACCATCACACAGAAGCACTGATTTACTTGACTGAGATTAGTGTTGAAAATCCGAATGTTGTTCACGCTTTATGCTGAGTGGAGTCGGGTGCAGTAGATTTCCACACTGATTTCAGGTCAATGAAGGCCTGTCTTATTGTCTTTCAGATCATGGCTTTGACGTTCTCATCTGTGCCGCTGCTGCCTGTAGTTGAGACGATGCTGCTTATGTGGGTAGGTGAAAGAGACAACTTCCTTTAGGTTTCTCCTGTTGGTGGTGATTGGTGCTTGTTGTTGTTGGTGGTGGTGGTGATTGTGTATCTCCATCACCTCAGTCTTCTCTACTTCCACCTGGTCCCGTCTTCTCTGCCTCTCCTCTTCTGTCAACTTGTTAGCCTTCACCTGTAGATCTTCGAGTTTGTGCTACAAGACACTGAACGTAAATCATCATCGGTGGCGAAATGCAAATCTTCTCGGGTATTCTCATCGGTCCAGCCAGCGTAAACCCCTCTTCTCTCTCCTCACAGTTTGTTGCATGATCCGGTCCTGTCCAGTCCAGTTAATATGACCAAAATCAGGAAGATCATCAGTGATAGTAGGTTGCAGTCTTGTCTTACTCCTGTCTTCACTCCGAAGGCATCACTAAGCTGAGCTTTCCATTGTGAATCACTTGACATGTAGCATCATATAACATAGCATATAGCTGTTGTTGAATGAGGTTGATAAAGGTTGGTGGCACTAAAACCGTAGTGTTGAAGCAACTGCCTGCTGAATTACTTCTCGGTCGACTATGTGGAAGGCCTCTTGGAAGTCGATGAAGTTGAGGTTCGATTGAGTTGACTACCATTCTATTCTCTGTTCTGTGATAAAGGGTAGTGTAGCGTTTCCATTTAATGTGCACATGAATTGTACTTCCGGAAGCCAGCCAGCCAGCCAGCCAGTCTGTTTCGGTTGTGATTTTGAATGCAGGGCATTTTTTGTCTCTCCAGGATGACACAACATAATATTTTGTTTTTTGGTGGACAGGAGTGGAGCATGATTCCACGCCAGTTCTTGCCAAGACTGAGGTCGCCATTCTTTGGATGTTTGAGAAGGTAGATCTTCTTCCCATCAGCATGTAAATTTCCTTCCTTCCTTCCTTCCTTGCAAGCCTGCAATAGTGGTGTGAGCATGTCAGCAGCTGATGTCTCTGTGTCTGTCTTCAAGATTTCTGGAGGAATTCTATCTGATCCTGTTGCTTTCCCACCTTTCAGTAACTTTATGGCGTTCAGGACTTCACTTCTGCTTTTGTTGGAGGGTTCGTGTTCACTGGTAGTTCTGCGGCTGGGCTGCTGATGGTATTTCTGGAAGAGTTGGAGGTGCTGGTGCTGGTGGTAGTGGTTGATTCAAGAGTTTTTTGAAGTGGTCAGCCCATCATTTCCCTTGTTTCTCCTCCTTGGTGGTAACGAAGTTTCCTCCACCATCTTTCGTTGGTTCCATCTGTGCTGTGTTGGTCTCTTTCCAGATGGTGACCTGATTATTTGATTTAGTGTTGTCAGGTCTCTCGTACCTGCAATCTGTTCTGCTTCACTTGCAAGAGTGTTATAGAAGTGTCTTTTGTCTTTGCGTGCACTCTTCTTCACTTCCTTGTCCATTGTGGTGTTTTACATGTTGTGTTCAGTACCTCTTTTCGTTGTTCATTCCTCCACTGCACTGCACTGTTTCATCTTCTGCGTAACCATTTTTGTCTCCCTCCTTTATGAGCTTCCATATGTCCACCGAGATCCATTCCTTGTCTCGTTTCTTCTTCCTTCCTAACACAGTTATGTAGATGTCCTTCCACCTCGCTTTCAAATAGTCCCAGTGTTCTTCCATGCTTGTTCCTTCAGGAATGTTGCTTAGTGACTCCCACTTTTTCCTGATGTCTGACGTGAAGACAACCTTTGTAGTTTCGTTCTTCACTTCACTTTCCGTTCCAGGTGTTCAACTTCAACTCTGGTCTATCACCAACTTCTTTGAAGGCTGCCAACTTCATTTTGAGGGTAGGTTCCTTGTACTAGATAGTGAGTAGTGTGAACCTACCTTTGCTCCCCTTCTTCATCTTGTGTTTAGTGTGCTGCATCTCCACTTCCTTCATACTGAGATGAAGTCAATCTGATTTTAGTGTGTCCTGTTGTCTGGTGAAATCAAACTAGTAAACTAGGCGAGGTTAAAAGTGAATCATGCATACTGTTATTTGTAGATACCTGTAATTCTCAGTTGTTATACTGGCTCGAACTGATCAAATATTAATGACATGTGGGCTCATAAGTAGATGCTGCATGCATAAGAGGTGGCTGTCGTGACTCAGAGGCCTGGTGAATAACGCTTTGGCGTTTGAAGTGAGGGGTTCCAATTTCAAGTCTCAGTAGGAATAACACCAGTCATTGAGCTGCAGGTACATCAGGCTGAAAAAAAGCAAGAAGGATGAAATATGCATGGTAAATATCAATGCAGGCCAAAACCGAGCTAATGGAAACAGTCTTGGTTACACTGTCCTCCCTGAGCTGAGATGTTTAGTCTTGGAGCTTCCATGGTATTTCTAGATGACATCATCAGCAATAACTTCTATAAGAAGTGAGCTGTCAAGATCTCTCCATGAGTGATTCAGCAGCTTGACCTGACAAACTGGTTTATGATTTCTTTTTCCCTTTGATTGTTATGTTATTGACTCCATAGATTTTCCTGCTGACTGTTCCTCTGCCTGACCTCTGACCTTTCTGTTGTGTACCATTTTTCCTACTGATTGATATATTTCGTTTATGTCAATACATTTGTTGATTGCTGACTGACCTGAACACCAAACTTCTAGGAATTCTCTGATATTTACTGCGTTTGCTCCTTCTGTCCAAGGTTTCTACACTGTGAACATTGAATTTATGTCTAAAGTTATTCACGTCCATTGAAATAGGCGATGAAATATTGTGACGTTTAATAGTCAAGTGGTGTTCATGTAAACGAAGGTAAAGAGAGCGGCCACTTTGTTCAATGTAATGTTGATAATGAGTATTGGAGTTGACTTTGTAAATGATATTTGGTTTGTCTTTTTCGGTTGCTGTTTCCTTTGTTCGGTATTCTGGTGTTTGGTGGGAATTTGTTGGTTTATTAGCCATACCAATTCCAAGTGGTCCCGGTAATCTTTTCGTGATTTATGATATATGCTTTAATTAGGTTATGATGATCCATTTGTTGATTTTACTGTTTGGCTCCACCTGATAAGGATATTAACGTAAAATTGAGAAGGGAGCAGTGCGTGTCCAGTTCCTACCACTAGATTGATGGATGCATAAGCTTCGCCTATATGAGTTGCAAAATCCCAGTTTTAAACCAATGGTGGACATGAGCTCCGGGATCAGGATGAGATGATTGGTTGATGGATGCAATTTATTCACTGGCACTCACAGAAATGCAAAAAGTGAAACTACTACACTGCGCTGTGTGTCAGACTCTTAGTTGAACATTAGCAGAGTGGTCCTTTAAGATAACCACCTTAGCATCTCCAACAACCTAGTCAGAAAGCTCATATTTCACCACAGAACAATGAACAGCATACGGTGACTTTATGGACTGGAGTTGCTTCACTGTTTAACCAATTCCTTATCCTTTACCGCTTATTCCTCTTCCTTTTTACATAATGTATTGACATATTTGGCGACTTAGTTCCTAATTCCTTTCTAATGCTTTATATATAACTTGAGTGTTAGTCAACCACATACATTCCAAAGATGTTAATGTTTGAATACCTGTGACCTTCACATATCAAACGTGATGACATTGTAGCAAAAGATTAATCACTCATTTAAACAAAATGATGTAATCTTTGCATGTACATATTTATTTATTTTAGGTACAACAGTACTTGAAATTGCGCACTGAATCATTGCATCTTGCTGTCAACCTAGTGGATCAGTACACTTGGAGACGAGTAACTCTGTATCCGTCAGAATATCAACTGCTCGGTATTACAGCGATATTTATTGCTGCGAAACTTATTGAACGCTTTCCACCATCAACTAAAACCTTATGTTATTTAACTGAGAATTCGTATAGCTCTAAACAGGTAATGTATATGAGTCCGTATATACCTGTGTACACGTACTAGTTTTTGTTTTATTTTACTAAAATTAAAACAATTGATTATACATGGATAACGGATAAACGCTTTCTGTACGATAATTTTAAAGCAAACATCATAACGATGTAAATGGCATCGGAGAAGGGGGAGTGAAAGAGGACAGTGAATTTGACTTCGAACTGTGTCTGATAACAACGTAGAAAGTCTTGGGCTAGTAACTTATGTGGCTAGATATGACTGAGTTGCAGACTGTGAGCGAGTGTTAACCTGCACAGTAGAATGGCGAACGGGATGGTCGACCTAGTTTGAATGACTATACGCTAAAACAAATCCTAAAACACTTTAGAAGTCCGCAGGCCTAAATATTTCAGCGGTAACATAAGTGACTGCAGTCCTATGTCGGACACCAATTTCCCCAAGGTTGTAGATGCTGCTTGCTGACAAGTGCCAAAAATCACAAAACTTAGGTTCGAGGTCTGTTCCCGAAAGCCTCCAACCAACCAGTACTCATCAAACTGCATCGTGTTGTTGAGTCTTCTAGCTTTTAAGGCTGAGTATGAAAATTCCATTCTCTAAGTTTAGATAATATCCAGTAATAAATATTTAGATGAACACATCACATCATTAGGAAATTTTTCATTCTCTACATATGTGGTTATGAAGTCAGTTAATCGTTTAGTGATTATCCCTGCAAAGGATGCATTTAAAAAAATGCTAACACTTGAAAAAATTGGGTTCATCTTAATGGTAATGGTGGTGATTATACATGACTATCTGAATAGCCCAGTTCTACTGGTTCTCTTTGAAGTACTGGTGTTTGACTGAGTTTCCTAAGCTACTGGTTGTGCTGCAAGAGTTCTAGGTTTTGACTGATGGTATATCAAGTTGGCATTCATCATGGACTGACAGCTGCAGGAACATTGGAAATCTGGAAGTACTGGATAGCTGTTTCGTTCTAGGATGGGACACCTCAGTGGTGCGCACATGACCAAGGACTTTCAGGTTTCGCAGCCAGCACGTTACCATTCAGCTACTGGGTCGGAATCCAGTGGTCCATACTTCCAACTTCTGTCAGTTCACGGCATAGTGTGACCATTACCCAATGTCATCGTTGAGTATTTGTCCTCATGGTCACCAGGCTTGACCCACCGGTCACAACTTCTCACTGGGACTTCAGGAATCACCTCTCGAAGCTAGTAACCAATGTGCACTAGATCAATTGAATTTGATGGTTTGCAGGGATTTAGTCGTTTTTCTTGTTGGTATTCATGAACTGACATGGACTGACAGGTGGAGCAAACCCGGTGACCGTGAGGAAAAATACTCAACGATAACACTGGGTGATGGTCACACTGTGATGAACTGGCAGAAGTTTGAAATATGGACCATTGGATTCCGATCCAGTCTCTCAATGGTAACACGATGGCCACTTCTTGTGCGACGGGTATTGTCTTAATGTTATTGCTCGTATTATACCAAATTGGACGAAATGCGCATTCTGGATTCCACTGCCAGCCACTATCCACTTTTTACTATAACTAGAACACAGGTATATAGAGGCATATGCACAGCAGCCCATATGCCAACGCAGACCGATCAATTCAATCCAATCAACGATGTTATAATACAAGCAATAACACATCACTCATACTATTCCCTGGAAAATTTGTTTAATTCATGATAATACTTTTGTTGTCACAGATTTCAATTTTTTATTTTGATCGGGTGATTTCCAACGAAAATCATGTTGACGATTCCAGTTAACCGGGTGGAAAAACTATTCATCTGTCAGAAATGTCAACGTGGATGGTGCAGTTTATAAATGATTATTTGTTAACTGGTCATCAGTTGCAGAGTAATCATCAATATGATAAGTTTGAAATATTGTCGCTAAAGTGTTAAGAGTGAAAAAGAACTATTTATCGTGATTTTCCAAGGTGTTGAATGTCACTTTTTGATTAGTAAGTGGTCAAAGAATAGAAGAATTGCATCAGCAAACGTTATTACGCTTGATCTATTCAGCTTCTTTACTTATGGAAATGACCCCTGTTTTGTACTTCAAAGGGCCAAATATGTGAATAGAAAACTCTGATGAGTTGCTTCATTAGTATGATAAATTTTATTCTGAAAACGCCTTTATTAACTAGATGTTTCTGTGATAGAGGTTAAGTAAATCTGTCTGCCATCTTTGTACTGCACTAAATGTACTTTTCCGTTGTCTTACTGCATAAATACAGTTGTATTGCATCTAGCAGACAATTTATTAGTACCTTATTCCTGTAAATGTCAAGTATCTAATTTAGCAAGTCAGTTAACATCCTTTGGATACGTCAATGTTTGTATAAGCAAACACCATATTGTTGGTAAACAGATACCTTGGAACATCTTACTCTGTAAACAGCGTACTACGATATCAGGTGTCTTAATGGGTAGAATCCAATAATAAATACATGGCTAGTGGTAGAATCACTGTTAACCAAGTTGTCAAATGCAAGGAAATCAACTCGCCAATGGTACTTGATGATGGTCACACCATATCATTGACTGAAAAAAGTAGGAAAAGTGAACCAATGGATTTTAGCCTAGAGGCTGAATGGTAAATTGTTCATTGCAACACCTGTCACTCCCAGGTCCGGTTCTTTTCAAAGTCATGAGTGCACATTGTTGAGGATTCCTTCCTAAACAAGGAAGAAACAATTGTACAGTGCTGCCTAGTTCTAAACGTTTTACTGAAAGGTAAAACTTATGTGATGGTAATTAGTTCGAAATAAATCAATCCCCACAAACTACCAACTGAACTAATCTACAAGATTCACCATGGGCTGTTTCTTCTATTATTTTGTTTTTTGAAGCTACTTGACCTTGAGTTTCAAGTTCTGAAAACATTGGATTTTACGATAAATATACCATTGCCACACCATTTTTTGGATCGTGCAGTTACTGCTTGTACTGATTTAACAGAGACTGGAAAAGCAAAGGTAAAGTTGACAATTTTTGCTTGTATATAACCGTTCTTTTTGTTTTATGGCTTGTCATTGTTGTGACAAATTGTGAATAACTTCCATAGATCATATAAAGAAAATTGATCGGAACTCAAAGGAATTTTGATCGATCTATGAAGTGAAGGGAAAAACGGTAGTTATAAAAAATGTATTGCTATAAGACGAATTCAATGTCCAATGGATGAAGTGCAGTTCTTACTTTGCCAGGACAGTACAGATTGACTTGATGTTCCGGGAGGATACCATAGCATTAGCAACCTATAAAAAAGATGAGGCTTTCTAAAGTGAAATACCAACGTACTCTTAATTGAGAAGTAAGTTCATAAATCTTGAGAATAGAGTATAAGAAATCGTGTAAATGTGCAAAACATAACTGTTTGTATTGAATCACGTCGCAAACTGTTGCATCACTTCATCCAGTAATAATGACTATAACTGGTTGCTTTTAGGTGACCTAAAGTTTTCTACAGAAGTGAAAATGGTTGATACTAAGCTGCTTTATTAGTTTACATTTCTATACCTAAGAGCATTTGATGAGATTTTCGCTTAACTCGTCATCTTCCCTGTCAATTAATCACTTCATTTTCTGAATGGCAACATCTTTTACTGCCTTAAAGACTCAGTGAAATTTGTATTTTTACAAGAAGCATAGTTCCATCTAAGCTTATCCGCAATACTTACTGATGAGTATCGATAAGTACGAGACCTTGGTTTGACGAGAAATTCAAATAGCTAACTTGGTGTCTAACTAGCTAGTCAGGGTCCACAACACAATCACTGAGTAGATCTTAAAAGGAGCAAGAACAACAATGGGAGTAGGATAAAATGGACCAGTTTCATTTCAATGAGTATTTTCTTCACCTACTTACAACCTAGAATATCAAAGTATGCGCAATTTTGATGAAAACTAAACATACTTTAATTCATTGAAAGAAAATAACAGAATATCGATCAGTGGTTAAGATGGACAGAAGTAGTCATAGAGTAAAAGTTAATCCTAAGGGCAAATACAAGGATGGTTATTAAATTTATTTGGTTATGACTAGCAGAGGAATCCAGGACACGACAACACAGGTCGAACAATTTGATCCAGATTACAACGGAGAATTACAAGTAGATCAACAAAAGTTAATAAATGACGACAAATTGTCATAATAATGCAAATAATTCAATGGAAGTTTCTTGAATGGAAATAAGCACAAGAGGAGTAATCGAAGCATTGATGGACTAAGCATGATAAGATTACGTAAGGAAGTCATACGAAAAATGTAATACCTATCAAAACATTGAAAATCTTGTGAGTTAAGCTCAGTAAGTTGCATGCGTTTTATATGAACAAAAGATGACTCAGATGAATAAGAGTGAAGGGATAAACAAATAAATTTGATAAATGATGTAATCAAATAACAGACAAGAACAGGCTACTGAAGTTAACAATTATAGTCAGTCTATAGCTTCCTTTTTGAACATAAAATCAGTTTTGAGGCATTTGATGGCTACGATATCAGAGAAACTTAGGAGAATCGAACTTGTTTGTTATCTCGGAGGAATTGAGGACACCTGTCTGATGTTCAGTGTCAATCGGATGCTCAATAGTTGTACTGTTCAGCGTGTTACTTCCTCTGGTGTCGTAAGTTCTTTGAAATGCATTCAAAAAAATGTAAGATACGCCCATCTTTATATTCTCCCAAGGTAGCTGCTTCGAAAGCTACAAGGAAATTGATAATAGATATTTAGAAGTGGCATAGGAAGGGTATCTGTTGATGCTTCACTGAACTAGTTATCATGCGGTTGGATGCATAGGAATTAACCTAATTACTAGAAAATTTGCAGCCAGGGATGTATTCATTCATTTGTAAATATTTCCTAATTCTAAAGACAAACGACTTTTTTTACCTGGTTGCGTTACTCAAATCTCAGTTTAGAAATCCTATACTCATCTACTTTGATATTTTGAAGTACTCTTGGTAGCTTCAGGGATCAATTATCATTTAAAAGATGTTAAACTGTTGGTCTGTATACTGTGAATGAGTCATGGGGATAGTTGTGGTGACAGCATACCATCCTATGACAGACAAAAGAAGTTTCTGAGCGTGCTACCCGCTTATTGACACCTGTACAACACAAGTACTGAACAGTCAAGAAAGTATGTTTGACTATCGACTGGGTATTTATAAAGTGGAAACCGTATCTCTTTGGATAACAGTTTCGTATTGAGATGAGTCACAAACCTCTATAGTGGTTGCAGGCAGTGCCAGACACCTGATAAACTAGCGTTATGGTCCTTACACCCATAGATTATGATTTCATGGTTGATCACATTCTGGGGGAAGGGAATTCAGCAGTGGATTCCTTTTCGAAGCCACAGTAAAAGACCAAAAGGTTAAAGGTTTTGAATGAAGTAAGCAACAACGAACAGAACCCACTTAGAATGGTGAGCTATCAGAATATAGGTCCCACCATTAAAACAGTAATTCAATTGATAACGGAGGGAAGGATAGCTGATACATACAGTTATCATTCCAGTTACAACATTTGGTGACCAGTGATCAGTAGACGCAATGGGATCATTTCCTCAGAAATCCAGCGGAAACTAGTACCTACTAGTGATGATACGACAAAGGAGAATTTGAGTGGATGCGGCTACATTGCCTGACTAAAGTACAAAGATAGTAACTAAGGCTGTTATTCGATAGATTGTTGGAAACAATCGTGTACTGAAGATGATATTAAGGAATCGCAACACATATTCAGTATGGCAGAGTTCACATCACAATTGCGAAAGCTGGCTATCAAATGAATGAGGACGATTTCTTGTCATCTTCAAACTAATGGGCTAACAGAAAGAAATGGTCAACCTTTTAAAGAATGGTTGGCCACCAAAAGAAGGTGACTGGGAAGCAGAGGTGCCACTAGTCTCATCACCGAGTCTATCATCTGTGCAATTGCAAACGAAGAAATCTTCTTTTTAACTACTGGGTAGTAGGAAACCTAGACTGCCAGTATACAGCAAATGAAATAAATGAGTTTTGAGGTGCGGCAAGTCAGACCATTACGCGATAATGCCTAGGCCCATTTTTGTGTTAACTGACTAAGGACCTGATTCATAAACTTCAAATCGATTACATTTTGGCTTTAACACACTTGACAAGTACTATGAAACCGAATGCCGATCAAATATTTGAAATTTTCTCATTAAATTCACATCGAGTTGCTGTCATATACGGCAAAAACAATGTGCTGTACCAACCTCTAATTGAGGATTTTATACTCCATCAACTACACAAGTAGTATAAGTTTATGATAACCAATGGAGGAGTTTCTATCGCTGATGGGCTTTCATCTGCCACAAAAATATTAGTGCTAATACAAATTCCCAAGTTTGTAAAAGTAATCAGAGTGCTCAACCATTTCACATCCTATCGTCAGATGGGTCATCATTACACACAAATTCTAAAGAGACAATTTGCATTTAGCAGTTAAGATGTGAATCTTAGATATTCTTTGGTCTCACTGCTTGTGAATCTCTCTCGCTGATTTGACCGAACTGATGGCCATTATTGATATATGGGCTCCTGTGCAGGTGCTCCGAACTGCCGGTAGTTTCATTTATGATAATGATCACGAATAGTGTCTAGCAGTTGGATTCAGGATGCGCGTTTCGTAATATCCTGAATTCATCAGCTGGATATCCTTTCTTTCTAGTGAGTGATGTCTCCACTAAGACTTGAACCCAGGACTGACCATATCAGACACCAGAGCGTTAACCACTAGGATACTGAGCCATGAAAGCTATTTCTTATGAGACGGTCATAGCATATTTTTGGCGTAATAGCTTGTGGCCTAGTGGATAACCCACCCTGAGTTCGAGTCTTAGTAAGATCAACATCCAGATGACGAACCCCAAGCAAGACGAAACGCGCTGCTTGGGTCCAATTACGAGCCATTGTCCATCAATAATATCATTCTTTGGTCTTTAATGAAGGTTTGCAAAAGACTTCACAAATTCTCAGTGTCTTCAACTAACAGGACTGTGTCATATGCGTAATCTAGATCAGCTAAAAACATCTGGTATCAAAAACAACAAAGCGTAGGTTTGCCTCTGTGAACGCATCTCTGATGCTTCTGAAGGATGGAGAGAGTAAGTATACCTTGTGATCGCATGTTGGTAGTGCTGTTGTGGTTGAAATTCTGAATAGCGTTTTTAGTCGATTCGTTTTCCCTGTTGGCTTCGAACCACTGGTAGACTGTTAGGTCACATTAGTGGTCATAGCAGTTTACTGCCCATATCTATGTCCAGACTTAGGATTTTACTTTCAGGTCGCGAAGTACGGTACAGATACTGGTAATTATAAGATTTTTTGGAATTTGATGAAAGTTTTATATAAGGTTGTTAGACACAATCATGTATCTAAGATTTGTATAGCTTTTAGTGATCAGCGGTTCCCAAGCTCCAGTCACGTGTGAGATGATTATAGAGCCTAGGATTTTAGAAACTTGGTCATTTATCGGTTGAGAGCAGTCAGAAGAAGCCATACCTCATTATTGCGTCACTGAATAGTGTATTAACCATTTGTGCATGATTTACTTGATGAATGTGACACTAAACACATAAAATTGAATTCTATTCTCATGTTTTTCCTATAAACATGTAGGCAGAATTGATTTGCCGTTACCTTTTCGAATTGAGTCTAACGGAATTATCGGCTGTAGGAATTTTAGCTACAGTGAAATGCGCTGCGAGTGTGTATTTAGCTCGTGAACTTCTTCATCTAGAATATGAAGCTAAGAAGAATAAAACGAATGATATTCAGAGTGAGGATAGTGCTAATTTTATCTTACCAAATGAATTTGAAATATGGCCAGAAGTGCTTGGTCGAAGTTTGGGTCATGAAAGCGTTATCACTCTGCTGCCAATGGTTCTTATCTACGTGAAGAATATAAAACCATTTCTACTGAAATCAAATATGCCAACGGAAATTTATGAGGTAAGTACTTATATACAAGTTTGATGGTCGTACATTATGTTCAAAAACCTAGAGTGAATTTTGATATTCTTTTCAATTAAAGTACACTACTCAATAGTAGGTATGAATTATGAACCAAAGATTTTGAAAGTGCGATGTGTGACAGCGACCGATTCCCGTACAAAAACTACCTAGAAAACTGGAACTAGTGAATATTTGATACAAATATTAACAACAAGTTATGTCCGCAAAGATTATTTTGAAATATATTCTTCTATCCAGTAAACGGCCTAAAGTGGAATATACCTGCTTTATTTCCTCATCTATTCAGAATATCGCAGACTACACAGTACCTGTGGTATAAGGTAGACGAGCAAACTAGATGTTGATGGACTGCACAAACGGGTGTCACATCCATCTCAGTGACCAGAAGATCAGTCCATGACAACCCTGCGGCCTATTTGTAACTCGTCATATGAATGTACCTGCACCCCAGTGAGATTTGTTCCCACCGGGTTCAAACTCAGTACCCTTAGCTTCAAATGTCACATCGTTACCCAGTTGGTTTGTCCTTCATATGCCAAGTTTTGCCTTGCGTTTTTCCTGGCAGAATCCTTACCTATTGCTGGCAATTCCCTATGATTTCTGCCACCCTCCCAACATGTACTACTTATATCCATTCTTATCAGCAACGCCTACTGCACTCGTCCCCCCGTCAAAATTTGGGGCTTGCAACCGTGTTGATCGTCTTGGTGCTGTCTTCTCTTGGTGTTGATGCAATGTTTCGTCTTTTCTCCACCGTTCCCATTTTTTGAAGTAGGCTGGTGTTTACTTTTTTCCGTTTGTCCCCACGTCACTCGGTAATGATGTATGGTCCTTCCCACTTTGGGAGTAGTTTTCTTCTACCATATTCACCTCCTGACGTATATCCTCGTTCTTTACATTTCACCTGATCTCCAACCTCAAACGGTTTCCATTCGCTTCCTTCTCTCTGCTCAGATTTTTCAGTATCAGCTTTCTGTTTTCGTCCCACATTTTTGATTGCCTGTTTCCGATCATTTCTCAATCTAGTCATGTTCCATGGCTGTTGTCGGGGCCAGGTCTTACTATGTATTGGGAGCCATGGTTTCCTGCCATAAATTAACTGGAACGACGACTTCTTGGTTGTTCCCTGTACAGAGGCACGATGAGCCAATAATATTAACGGCAGTTCCGTCTCCCAATTCCCTCCTTTCGAAGCCAGCCACTCCTTAAGTGTGTGGTTATTCCGTTCTGTCAAACCATTAGTCTGCGGGTAGTATGGCGTCGTTCTTATCCTCTTGATATCGAGCTGCTCCAAACAGGATTTGAATTCTTCAGTATCAAAACGAGGAACTTGGTCGGTCAGTATCATTTTCAGCATGCCGTAATCTGCGAAAATATGCCGCATCACTGCTGTGGTCAGCACCTTTGCGCGTTGATCAGGATTTGCGACAGCGTCTGTCCATCGTGTAGCATGCTCCATCATCACCAACAGGTATTACTTGCCACTAGATGTCTGCGGAGATGGTCCCATTTCGTCCACAGACCACAGGTCACCAACTGCCTCCACTGGAATCGACTGGGGCGGCTGTCGGTTATACCTATCACTTTTCATCAGTTGACAATGGGGACAGCCCAGCACGTGTTTCGCAACGTCTCTCATACCTGGCCAGTATGCACTTTGTCTGAGGTCGGCTGTCTGTGAGACACCTATATGAGCTAACTGGTGGCATTGTCACGTAGACATTTCGAAATCACTGCCAACCAGCTTCCGTTGTTTACTCGCCACGTTAGCATTGCATAAGTATTCATCCGTAGGCCTTCTTTCTGCGTCAACAACGTTCTCAACTCTTTATTTCCTACAGGCGTTTGTGTCTCCGTTCCTTCAGTTATGGCTTTTATCACTTTTTTAGGTGTAGGGTCCGACTTCTGAAGGTGAATAAGTCTTAGTGGATCCCGTCCCACTGCATGTACACCTTATGAGATCTCAGGTGGTTCATTTTCTTCGTCTAATCTTGATAAGAAGTCTGCCATCCAGTTTTCTTTCCCCACCACATGGCTGATTGTGAAACCGTACTCTTGCAGTCTAATATCCCACGTGATAATCTTCCTCCGGGGTCTCTCGCTGTCTTAAGCCACTGTAGAGGTTTGTGACCAGTTTCAATATGGAATCGTTGACTGAGGAGGTACGATCTCCATTTCTCAAGCGCTCAAACTATTGCCAGACATTCCTTTTCAACTGTGGAATATTTCTGTTCTGCAGGTGTCAGGACATGGCTGGCATACTACACTACTCCTTCAGTGTCTCAGAACTGAGCCTATTCCATAATTACTTGTATCGGTGGAGGTGATGAATGGCCTCCCAGGTACTGGTAGTTTTAAAGTCATCTCCTGGTCATTTGGGAGTTTTTTGATGTGATCAAACGTTTTCTGTGCCTTCTACGTCCACAAACATTTGGGGTTGCCAAGTAGCTTATATAAAGTTGCTGTTATCTCATTGAAATTTTTAAGGAACCGACTGTAGAATGCTGCTCTACCCAAGAACTGCCGCAGTTTCCTCTTAGAATTGGGCACTGGAATAGTTCTAACCATCAGAATTTTCTCAGGTAGCAGTATTATTTCACCGTTCCCAACTTTATGTCCTAGTAATGTAACACTTCTTGGCTACCTGAGATTTTGTCTTATTGATGCGAAGTTAAACTCGTCAATGCATCTTAAAACAGCTTCCAGGTGTCCTAGAGGCTCTGCCTCCGTCTGACTGTACACCACCAGGTCATCACCGTACACCTCTACGTTTTCTAAATCCTTCAGCAACAACATCATCAACCGTCTAAATGTAAATGGCACGCCTGCAAGACCAAATGGCATTAGCTTGGATTGGTATTGCTCCTTGCCCACAATAAATGCTGTTTTCTCTTTATCGTCTTCTTTTATTAGTAGCTGCCAGTATCCTGAGCGGAGGTTCAGGACTGTAAATACTTTTGCATTCTGCAAACGACCCAGTGTTTCAGTTACCGTCGGCATGGCACAAGGCTTCAGTTGCGTTATGCTATTTAACTCTCGGAAATCAACGCAGAATCTATTTTTCCCATTTGATTTTCTTACCAAAAGCACTGGAGATCTGTATGGGCTATTAGCCTCTTCAATAATACCTTCGTTTAGCATCTCCTGAGCCTGGCGCCCAACTTCTTCCAAGTGACATGGTATTCGCCGTGTTATAAATGTTGTCATTGCTTGACTTGTCACTGGGATTTCATGTTGAACTTTGTCATAGTATCCGTAGGGGTCTCCAGCTCCCGTGAACAATCTGTCGTATTTCTTAACCACCTTCATGGTGTTTGTGGCTTCTGGGTGTGGTGCTTTTGATACCTCAGTCTCTGCTACCTAGCTGTTTACGTGCGTGGTGAGCGACCCGTACTTCGTCACCACTATTCTTGTTCTTGTGTTAATAACTGCGCCCACTTCTTTCAAAAGATCAGCAGCTAGGATTGGCCATTGTAGACGAGTGGTCACAATGAATAGAAATCTAATTTCCCGGCTTTCGATCTCGATGACGCAATCTGATAAGCCTGTGGTTTCTAATCCATGTCCCCCGACCGTGTGGACCGTTAGTGCACATGGTCTTATGTTCTGAGACTATTATCTATCAGCAAGACTGCCGCCCCCAACACGTATCTATGAGACACAATATCACGACCATTTATTCGCAATCTAGCATACACCGCGTCTCGATCTATGGCTCCTACAATATCTAGTCTATTCGGAAAAACAGAACTCATATTATATCCTTCAAAACGTTTTCTTTTCCGCCTCTCTGGACAGTTTCTTCGCCAGTGTCCTGGTTTCCCCGCATGGAAAGCATTTACTCTATCTGTTGATATTTATTCGAAGTTCAGCCGCCTCTTGCTGAAAATTAGCGATGTTTTTTCCAATTATTTACCTCTGGTGACTCCACTGCAGCTACTGCTGTACCTATTAGCTGTCTGGTCACCTTGGCCATCTCACTAATGTCTATGGGTTGGGCTGCGCTCACTAGTAGTAAGTGCTAGGCGATGGTGTTCGGGACACTTTCAGTGAACTGTGCAGCCAGCAACTGTTCTTGGGAGTCCTCATCCAACGCGGGTTGTCAAACTCCGACTCCAGGCATTCAACCATTCTCTGCCAAGTCTCCTTCCCGTCTCCGTATTCCACGCCGTCATACGCTGCTTCCGCTCCACGCCTCAGCAACGTGCCTAGCACCGCGACCTTCGCTCCTGGATCCCGGACACCCGCGAGTTTCGCGACCGACTCAAAGTCCTGAGAAAGATCATGATGTCTCCAGCCTCGAACACTAGAGGCCACGGAATCTTCATCACGTCCAGAGGCAGCGACACCAATTGGAAGAAGCAGGTAGACATATACGAAGAAAGGAATGTCTATTGTCAACCAACAAGCGGGACAGTAGTCGTTAAATACGGTACGCCTTGCACTAAAATCGTCATTTGCAAAATGTGCTTCACTTCCTCTTCTGCTTCTCTATTGACTTGCTCTTCATACGCCTGCGTTGTCTCTTGCATTTCTCTTGGCAGAATCCTTACCCATTGGTGGTAATTCCTCATGATTTCTGCCACCCTCTCAATATATACTACTTAAATCCAGTCTTATCAGCAACCCCCACTACACTATCACCTTATATTGTTTGTTTTTATTGGTAGTAAAATTTTCCAAATCTCTGGTATAGGTGTTGTGTCATTCCTATTACATATATTGGGTACTGGTTCAATTATCAAGGCTTCCGTAGTCAATCTCTCTCTTCACCTTATTATATGGGACTTACGTACAGTGGCTTTATGCCAACCTTTTTTGTGGTTGTGTTGATGCATGCATTGTGACAACTGAGAGTTTTCCAGATTGTTAATCTCATTCATGCTTCAATTCCTTGTTTAAGTCCTTGCACTGACTAGTCAGTTCTCAGCTCTACCACATAGACATTTGACTAAACCTCCCTAAGCGTCTGTTTTTCGTTTATATCCTGCAATCCAACATAGGTTATTCTCCTTGTTCATTTTACACCTCGTAAGCGAATTGGATTGCGCCTACTACTGAGTTTATATGTGTGAAGAAATTGTTGATATGTTCCTATTTCAACATAGTAAATGTATCATCCACATATGGCCATCATATCTTGTCTGCGGGATTAAACTTTGGTAAAGACATATTTTCCCAACTATCCATAAATATATCTGCTCCGATTTGGGATATTGGTGATCCTGTTGCCACTCCTTCTGCCTGCCCATATATTTTTTGCACTGAAACTTGAAGACTGTGGAGGTCATGCACAACTATACGCCTAACCAATATTTTAGTTCGGTGAGTAAGTTCTGAGTCAATAAACTTTGTCGGCTTAAGTATCCGGTAGAATCAATTAAGTTAAATTAGTGGGACAAAGGAATTTAACTAAATATAGAGTGACAGACCCGAATAAGATCAAAAATCTAAAAAAATATCTCAGATATTACAGTGCACGCATTAACATACAATCACACATTACGGTGAGATAAAACCACTGCGCTTAAGTTGAATATATTAAGGTGGGGAGAGAGATTGAATCTTTGTTCATCGAATCCACACCAACACACGTAATAGAAATGACGCAACATCTATACCAGAGATATTGAAAATTTTACCACCAATAAAAACAAATAATATGAGGTGACACGACTGTAGGAATCAGATGTCAAAAGTAGTGTGATTACATTGATATGATTATGATAAATAATATGTGCTGGAAACATCTTCAAGTAAATAATACTGTGACACTGTACGTTACAAATCAGATGAACAAGTCTAATACGGAATTAAATTCTACTACAGTGACCAAGTTTTACACTCATATCTTATGAACTACGCTCAGTGTGTCAGGACTGAAAATTCTACCAAGTTGTCAGGCTGAAACATAGATAGGAATTTGGATAGAACGACCTGTAGTTTACTTATGGATTCACTACACTCTGAGTATATTGAAATTGCCTGAAATAGTAAAAGGAAGATATAAGGTATCCATTGAATCAGTTAACCTAGTGTAATAAGAAAATGCTTTTCAAATTGTGATGTTTTCATATAACATATAGGTTCAACTACATTCACGCTGTTTATTTAGTACACAGACAAATTTCATACCAAGTACTTGTATATAGCTGACAGTTAAATACGTCATGGATATCTTATTGGGGTCTATGACTAACATTTCACTTTAAAAATTATTATTTTTCCCTTGGGTTCCTGGTGGAACATAGGGCTTCACTAGCACGTCTCCATTTCACTCCGTTCTCCGCAGACTTTTCCACCTGGGTCCACCACTGCCCAGAAGCCTTCATTTCTTCCTCACACGATCTCCTACATGTCACCCTCGGACGCCAAACTCATCGTTTCCCACTTGGCTTCCACTACAGGGCCTGGCACGTGATATCCCCAATCCGTCTTCTCAGTGTGTGTCCAATCAAATCCAATCCATCTCCACTTTCTTCAGCATATTTATTGAGCGATAGGTTGTTGGTTCGTTGCCAGAGTGAGTTCTTGGTTGCTTATCCTTATTATTCTGACCATCTGGTCTTCAGTACCGAGTGTAGGCAGCTGTTGATGAATGTCTGCGATTTGCTGGAAATGCTTTTCGTGACGCACCAAGTCTCTCAACCATCACATAGAAGCATTGACTTGACATTGGTGTTGAAAATCCGGATCTTGTTCACGCTTTATGCTGAGTCCAGTAGATCTCCACACTGATTTCAGATTGATGAAAACCTGTCTTGTTTTCCGATCCCGGTTTTGACATCCTCGTCTGCGCCACCTGTAGTTGAAACGATGGAGCCTCGTCTAAGTAGGTGAAAGAGACTACTTCCTTTAGGTTTCTCCCGTTGATGGTGATTGGAGCTTGTTGTCCAGGCTCTTGTTGGTTGGGTATGTTCATCGCCTCTGTCTTCTCTACATTTACTTGAAGTCCCGTTTTCATTGCCTCTTCTGTCAACTTGTTGGTTTTCACCTGTAGATCTTCGAGTTTGTGCGACATTCGACATAAATCATCGGCGATATCCAAAGGCATGCACCCAATTTGCCATCTTATTGGGATACATTTCGTTTATGGGAGAATTTTCTTGTTATAATGCAGAAGGATAACACTTCAAACAGAGCTTAGCTATCATTATAGTTCGAAATGAAGTAGGTTAAAATGAGAAGATACAACGTCAAGTGGTTCCAGTTAGCCAGTTACTGAATTCTGTGCTTATCGACTAAATTGTATAATCACTTGTGCATAATTTTTTCACTTTTTTACATTTATCTGTTTGATAGGCTGCTTTTCAGAAATTCAGCAATCGAGGATATTGTCGAATAGCTCTGTCCACTCTTCTTCTAGAAGCTGACTATGATGCCATTGTAAAAGATATCAAAAAACAGATGAAGTTGAATTCAGCCTTTTCATAGGTCAACAAGGAAGGAACACTTTAAATTATCTATCATATTCTTCTTCAAATTTAATGAAAGCATTTAACTTTGATGGCTAGAAATTCTTGTAAACAAATGGATAACAATCTAATCTATGGGTTTTATTTGACCGCACACAACCGATCAACCACTGCTAGATATAATTATCAACGAATGTAGATTAACTTCCTTGTCTCTCTTTCTCAACCTACCATGTAATGCACATTTCGTTATGGTTTCATTTTAGTAAACAATGACTTCAAGGTAGATTGCATACAACAACACGGTGGGTGTTTAGTTATCTCTATTTGTCCGTTCCTTATTTGTTCCTTCTTCGTCTCATCAACATTATCAGAGATCACCTGACTCTTTATATAAAAGCATAATATAATTTTATTGATATCATGAATGTGATGAGTGTTCTTGCAGTGTTTCAGTTACAGTTTGACAAACAATTACAACTGTTGAGGATGGATAGTGGATGATGGTGGAGTCCAATACCTGCATTTTGTTTCCATTTCCGGGCACATCAGCTGAACGTTTCTGGATACCACGAAATGATGTTCTTCCCACTGAGACTCGAAACCCAGTACCTTCTGTTCCAAATCACCCACAAAATCGAGGAACCGTCACAGGAATCTGTATTCCAACAGAGGAGACCGATCAATGCAGTCCAAAATTATTAACAGTAGGAAATAACAAGTGCTTATAAAAAATGATCCTCGTTGCACAAGAAGTGATTACAGCAGCCGAGTAACCTAGTAGATAATTCCTCGTCGTATGAAGTCCTGGATACCGGTTTCAAGTTTCAGTGGGGACACCATCACTTACTGGGATGCAGATACTTCGAGATAACGAGTCCCAAATAGGAAGAACTATGCGTCGTAGATTCCATTGCTAGCCACCGCCCATTCTTAGTACAATGGTGAGATTGGCAGTTATATCGACAGTTCATATGCTAACAGAGGCTGATTAAACGGAGCCAAAATTGGAAATAACTAGTTTTAATAATAAGTACGATTCTTATGGTAGTTCAGGAATGGCAGTTGATCTATCGTGATGTAGCGTTGAGGAGGATTTGACTGGTAAATTTTGAGAAGCGTACGGTTTTGTAATCGTCGTTTTTCTTTTATGAGACTGTATTTAAATCCTCAAATTAGGTTTTCTAACAAAAATTCAACAGTGAAAAAGTTTTTTGGATTTTAGCGATAAAATTTCTAAAGACAGTACATTTGTATTTCAGTTTAATCGTCAGTTATCCCATCAAGTTGATGGTATTGCAATGAGAAACCTTTGGGGCTCCCTGTTTGCTGATATTTTTCTCAAGTAAGGTAGTCTGGCAACTCCAGACAGCACATATATCAGATGTGATTGCATCAGCAATATATGGACAACGTTCTTAGTGTATGTAAGTGGAAACTGGAGGTAGTGGTCAAAGAAATTTAACTCATGTCATCATCATCTTAATTTTACACAGGAATATAATGTTTGGCGAGTGAAATATCCTTTCCCAGAGGATATAAGGTTCAGAGATCAAAAGCTCCAGCATGAAGCAGTATGAATCCACTAACTAGTGTTAAATATTTACAGTAGCATTCAGTTTCAACATTATCCTATAAGACTTCTTGTCCTAGTACGATCTCAAAAACAAATGTCCCAACTAATTTCCCTTAAGGTTAAAACAGTTTTAGATACTTACGGCAAGTATTCTATCGTTTCCATTAGAAAAAAATTGTTTATTTCAAATTTTCGAACGCAAAAACACGATAGGCATAATTTACCACCAGCAGCATGCAATCTCTTTTTAAGTCATGACTTTGCATCAGCACTTTGTGAAGGCCACCTCGAAGACCTATACGATGCTGGTGGTCACTATTAAAAAATACATATATATTCCGATGAATAGTAAGGCTGAACAGCTCATTCTAAATGGTATATTTCAACTCCAAGGAGGTCAAGTATGCCGTGTAAATCAAGTTCTCATGTAGTAAAGAAAAGGTAAAATTCTTTTAAAAATCATACTCCTATTTATATTTCGTTTATTATTATTACTATTAGTGCAGAAATTGGTGTAGAAGAATACCATATAACTAGTAAATATATACAAAGAGAATCGAAACATAGCAACACAGCCAACGTACAAGAGTATCGAAGGATACCATTAAATGTTACAACAGTTGCTACTTTCGAATATGCCTTGAAATGCATTATTTTTCACAAAATGAAGAGCACATTCTGATTTGTAGATTTTTAAGAATACAAAGTGAAACTTCTTTATTGATTCGGCAAACAGCTAAAATATTTAATGTATAAAAAAAACAAAAATATGCAAAGATAACAATCTTGAAGTAACAGTAATACTTCTATTTTTCTTGACCATTTGTAATTTATGAGAGGATGAATTAGTTTTTTTCAAGTAGTTGTTATCATGGATTGACATCAGTCGAAGAAATATTAAAAACCTAGGAGAACTAAACAACTGTTTCGTTTCTATCAAGGCCACCTCAGCAGTGCACATACTCATGATCCCGAGAAGGGTCGAGCTCAAGACTGTTAGTTGCCGGCAATGAGCAAGTTACTATTGTTGTGAGGCCCTAGTTTTGCATAAAACATTGTTATTGATTTGAACATTTTTTTCAACTTGACATTCTCACACCAACTTTCGCGGTATGACTAGTAGTTTATTATCTGCCCTGATTGTAATGTAATTCTCTGATTGGTTAATCCTTACTCTTACTATACGAATGCCTCAATTTGCGGACAAGGTCATTTTTCATGTGTATACTTATTCACGTGTTTTAGGATTGATTATTGTTATATTATATTCTCGGAGAAATAAAACTCTCCCACCATCCACCTTCGATCTTTTGACCCTATAATACACGTTTATACAATTCTATCGTGTCTTCTCCATTAATTAGTCGGGTCGGGAATCAACTAGGAATTTGTTGGATGCTGGTGGCTGACAGTCGATATTTGTGCATCGTTAGCGCCACAGGTCACGACTTCTTAGCACAACTTCTAGAAAACTATCTCGAAGTAAGCTATTAATCCTCTTCGTAAATTCAAAGAAGTGCATTGACACTGGTGTATTAACAAGTATTTACCATAGATATTCCTTGAAAGCTTCAAATATCAACTTGCAAAACTCTTCGATACTAAAAGGTATGAATTTTTACTTCAAAAAGAAGTAACTAAGTGATGAAAAAAACAAAACCAGGTTAATCATCAACCATGGAAAATATCTTAGAGCTTGGCAAGCTCTTTGAATCCATCGCTAAAGAAGTTGATATCACAAGGTTCAGTAAAACGTATCTCAAAAGTTCAGAATTGCTACCTGTCAGAAGACACACTGATCCTTTGATCTGGGTGCATCCACAGACTTTCGAGGAAGCAGTTACCTTTCTATCAGAGTAATGAAAGTCATGCTACCACGCTGGTTATATTCAAATGATACGTATATCAGGTAACAGAAAACAGAATGGTCAGCTAGATATGCTATGATAAATATACATAAACTAATGTGTACTGAAATATCATGTCACTCACTGATAGTAGTGGACACAGTGCAGTCAGTTAGTTAGGCAGTACCAATGTGAGATCTGACATTGCTGTACAACGGTCCAAGTGGTCACTCCCTATATCCGATCATCAAAGTAATAGGCACACGGATGAAGGATAGAGAAGTGAAGAGATACACTGCATACCTGATCAGCTGTATCGCCTTCCAAACAACGAGTGATATGTGCAGATATTTCACTTGTACAGAGGGTTTACAGCAGCCATAATAACTTAATAATAAAACCAGTGGCTTTGACATAGAGTTATGCTGGTCCTAATTTCTTACGAGAAGTGAGTAATTTTTTTCTTATAACTGCCAAAAACAAGCACTTAATTCAGGTGACTAAAGAATTTTTGATGACTATTATTAAAATTGTAGACATCAGAATATCAGCGGTGATTCAGCAGTAATAAATATGCTGAACATGTCAGGACTATAGGACGTTTTCAATGTGGAATCATAGAACTAAACACTTGTCACATTAAAAACTTAAAGCCAACTCATCATAAAGGGGATGATTATCATGTTCGAAGAGGTGCTTATAGACACAGTTTAAGCAGCACGTCCAGGGAGTCAACTAGTACTTTCGTATCTATACTCTCTCTTCTCAGGTAGCATCAAATGTGATGTAACAAACCATTAGGTTTGTAACAATGACTGCGCAATATGAGACCACCACGAAAACACTGTAAACTTCTAGGAAGGTTAAGCACCTCGGATTTTCGAGATACAATACACTAAACAAAGCGTCTTGACAAGTCCAAAATAGACGAAACGCGCGTCTTGGATTCCCCTGTTAGCCACAACTAAGTAAATTACCATAATAAATAGTCAAGCAATATCGAGGCATCTACATAGGAACCATATATGCCAACAGAGGTTGAATAATTCAATACATTCTCAAATCTATTATTCTAATGAATTACTTACCAATGTTATTTCATTTATACACAAGTGAACTGCTATTGCTCAGCTTTGATCCAGGGGGTAGGCTATAAGGTACGGGATATGACATATGCTTCATCGTAGTACTATCTACACCTAATGAAATACTGCTACCAGAAGGAATATTGTGTACAGTAGAATGACGCAAAAAATCATTTCCTGATGATCGCATCAATGCCTGTCGTTTAGCTGATGGTTCTCCCCTGTGATATTTGGTTGAATCAAATTGCGCTGAGTGCATTACATTATGATAGGGTACATCATGCCTAGTAATAGTATTAGCAGTAGAAGTAACACCAACAACAGGAGACTTATTGATATTGTTTTTGGTTGTCGTAGTGTTGTCCAACTGATCTTCATTGGAATTTCCATCAGCAGGATATAAATCCAGAATTTTATGACAAATATCTTCCATTACCTGAGTATCAAAAGAGGATAAGAAGAAGAAAGGCTATTTTATAGTGATGGGCAAGAAAAAATGAAGCTTATAACTTGAAAATCTTGCTATTTCAGTAAACAGTAAACCTTTTAGGATAAAATAGAAAACGTTAAAATAGTTATTCAAATTCTCCCCACCTATATGAAGGTCAGAGGTGGACAGATCAATATGTGGTATCAGTGTATGCAGTTTCTCACTGTTGGTCGTCTGGACCGTGTAGACAGACGTAAACTGTCAGACTGAAATCGTCGGGGCGATAGATCAGTGGTCGAAGGCTCTTAGTGATACAGCCGAAAATCGATTACAATGGCGCAGATGTAAATGCAGTTTGTCTTCAATATTGCTATTATCTTTCATTTATTGATGTACTTTCCTGTCATACACTTTTGTCTACTTCAGTATCAATATCGAATTCAACCAGCATATTTATGCACATTCATGCCACACCTAATTTGTGAGGGTTAGTGATACTACCTGGCTGTCCAAAACTCAGTGAGTTGAGCGGTGCTGGAGCCCACGACCCATTGGTTTAAAGTCAACCCCTTGAACTAATGAGCCACAAAACTGTACAAAGAACTGCATAACGATTCACTTTTTGATACTTGAAATTAGACCACACTACAGTATAATGCAGCAAGATGAGAGTAAAGAAAAAAACCAAATGATATCGATAAAAGTTGAGTAAAAGCATACGGCAAAACCACAAGAAGATAAAGCAAACAATAAAATGTGATATGAACGGTCAAGATGACAGTAAGGCACATACATATCTGCGTTAATGAAATCAGTTTCAGTTGTCTTGCAGAACCAAAGTCTAAAAACCTACACTTCTCTATTCGACTGAGACCAATAATCCGAGACTCCGTTGCCTGGTGCTATCGATCAATCAAAGCTATCCCCCAGTTTGTTCAAATCTAATTCTACACTAGTCAAAAACATGTGCTTTTGAAATACAACTGCACTATAGCCAAATCAACTAAAAACTACGCACAGGTTGGATGACTTGAAGCTGAATGAAATCGAAGTTGATGTCGAATCCGCAGTATTACATTCAGGAGATATCAACCAAGCGTGTTCTACCCGCAAACCCACCGAAATGCTGCAACTAACTGCTAACCATCAGGTTTCGACTACGTTTCAATAACTAACAGATCCTTTTATTTAGGTGGTATATAAATTAGATGGATTATTAACTGTTCGTTACGACCTTTTCTTTTCGATCTAGATTTAGTTGAATTATTCCAGTTTTTATGGCTGTTTCGAAATGCTAAGGAGACTCAAGCAAGGAGGAAACGGGTGCTTAGTGCTCCCAGGCTTGAGTTACTTATATCGCCAACTGATTTATGTAGCACACTCAACTATCTTGTTTACATCCATGTAGTAGGCACTCAGCCGCACCTATTATATGAAGGCTAATGACACTACCTAGCTGCCTAAACTTCGGTAGATGGAGCGGGGCTCAAATACGTGACCCAACGATTGATAGTCATCTCCCTAAACCACTGAGCCACAGCTCCACAATGGTCTAAGCACTTCAGTTCCAATCAGTAGCTCCTAAGTCTGAAACCTGCTGCTCCATGCATTTTGTGTCATCACCTGATAAATAGATATCCGTGATAAGTTGAGCTTACAGCTTATTTTGTGCTTTTTCAAAAGACTATCCTTTCTTATTTTATCCAAAAACAGAAAAGAAAATTGCATCCATTATTCACTGAACTCATATATTACTTCTTATACTTACTTCAGTACTCATGCCTTCAACAAAACATTCCCACCAACGTTGACCTGGCTGACGACCTTCCCAATCCTCTATGGTAAATTTACTCATTCGAGTAGCCAAGTAGAGTACAGCGCATGCAACTATTTCTGGCTCCCATTGTAGGCAAAGCGTTGTAGCCAGGCTATCATTTATAAAAGACCATGACATCTGAACTAATTCCTTCAACTTTTCTTGATTACCTGAATGGTGAAGTGGTAATATAGTGATACGTATTAGTATACTGTTTGATTACTGACGAGCAATTAAAGTTAATTCATTGAGTCCCCTAAAAGTTCGAGGTTTGAAGAAATGAGTTTTGGGTTTGAGTTTCAATGGGAGCACTAGCAGGTAAGTACACCGAGCTGACAAATCCTAAATAGGAGGAAACATATACCCTGGATTCTATTGCTAGCCATTATCCATCACTATTCACTCCTAACTGTTGAATGAATTCTACCAAGTAACTCAGCGGTGATTTATCTGACTATAGAACTGAGTGATGTGGCTTTAGATCTCTGACTGAGGACTCTTTTCTTCAAAAGTACATATATATGTCCCAAAACCAACTGTAGGGTAGGATATCGTGAATGATCTTAAAGTCCAATATGTTAAATGGAGGTAAGAAGAATCACTGTGTCTCAAACCAACACTTATTACATGAAACAAGAGTAAATCAACAACTTTCCCGTGCACTTACAATACGCTACAAAAATATTCTTAAGAAAACCAAAAACTGTAGGACCATAAGAATGAAGTTTCACATATGTGTAATTAATTTGATAAAATTATGGAGAAGGAAATCGATAAAAAACTTGGTTGAGTAAGTGAAAATCTTTGGTTGTGTGGTATATTTATCAAGAAAAAGCTAACACGGATTAATAAATAACAAAGGAGACTTATTTTTTCAACCTTTAGAATAGCCCCATTGAAGTTGTAGCAAACGGTGACAACAAATGATCTAAATACCTATATTAGCATCTTAATTCAAATAGTATTAAAAGATTGAACTGAAGTAGTAATACTGGATGCAACGATACTGTGTTTTATGAAGTAAATGTAAATTACGTCTGGTTGTCATGAATGCCACTGGTAGTCTGTCATTTCCCGACTTCTCTCACCATAGAAGTAATTTCTGTAAGGTGCCTGAAAGAGAATGAGGAAAACACCTGCTTAAGGCCTTTCATACAGCCTGTTGAAAATTGTTGCCTTGAGATTTGTTTCTCCTAACACCGGATAGGAAAAGCTCATACCACTGGGCAAGACCCGACCGATAAGTGCTTGTAAATTACAATGACCCAAAGGGTTAAGCTAGCTGAAATTCTTGTTCCATCGAGGTCTTACCATACCAGAAAGGTCTATTGGATAATGATAAGATGAAAAGCAGTTACCGTTGTAGTGCAAATTTTTACACTATGATGGGGGTCCGAGGGCGAAATGGCACTTCTAATTGGATGAGGTGTGACAGCAGTAAAGTGTTCCCCTCGAATGACCAGTAGTACGACGCTGGTGAGAAGAAGTGGGTTACGAAAGGTTGGCTCCGAAATATTATACTCCCCCATGCCCCACGGTCTCCCGTATGAAGTTTTCTGTCCAGCGAAACAACAATTTGCGAGATACTGTGAGTGGTAGGCCTCAAGCAGATGTCCTATAGACTCCGTAGTCACACGAATCTTCTCTTTCGGGCACCCCAAGAGAAAATAATTTCCCACGGTGTTGGCAGCCAGAAAGTGTCAACCGCCCCCACCCTTCCAGTAGTACACCGAGCAGGAAGGAATGTAATCCTTTTGGGGTCAATCTTTCCTAACTGTTTTTTGTCATACCACTATTCAATAGACCTTTCTGACGTAAATGCGGGTCACAAGAAAGGTGCTAAGCACAATTCCCGGCTTGTTTTTCGTCCCTTCTCAATGGTTTTCAAGGTTGCTCTTTGGTTGGCGATTATTTCTTTAATTGTGTGAATATTCTACCGATCGTATAAGATTAAAATCTCTGTATATGTACACTGAAGATCAGTGTTCTTTTCTTTCTACCACATTAATTGAAGTGTTGAATTTGTTGATGGATGAATTCAAGTCATTTTGTGTTGGGGTGTAGTATCTATTACTTGAGCAAGAGCACAACAGTAAGGACAGGTCAATGTGAGACGTTTCTTACTCGTATCAATCAGCGGCACATTGTGCATGAATGCTGGTTACCATTAGATATCATGGCTTTGGATAGTGAAGCTGAAGGAAACAATGATTATGACAGGTCTTGTTAGCAAGAGTATCTCAATTTTTTAGTGTTACAGCTAATACAGACTTATTTTACGACGCGTTACCGAAGGCAATCATAAGAATGCAAAAACTTGGACTCTAAAAAGAGATTACTTGGTTCCCACTGATTTGTAATTTTTACAAGTATCCACTGACTAAGTGATGGCGTATGTGACCGATGCATTTCGGAAATTTCTTAGATAATGCATTCATTTTAATGAAAAGATTTCTGATGGGCATAAGACGACATTAGAATGAATGATTTCAGTAAAGGTACAAAAAATCACAGAAAGTTAAGGAAGCATACAAAGAAGAAGCAGAATATACGGGATAATAAAATGTTCAAGATTTGAAAGTTACTTCTGGACAACAGCCAATGAAATGATGACGTTGAAGTAGTTGACACGTGGATTACATATGTTGATCCACTGTCCATCTGAATGGACTACATTTGCAGAAATGATTAGGCTCGTTTGGTATTTGCCAACTTGCCGACGAGACAACCTACTAAATGCTAAAGGATATGCATGCTGGTGCTGTGGTCTACTCTGTCCTAATATATACGGTAGTGACCCATGGTTGTTGAAAGCAGATTTAAAAAGATAACAGGCTTTTGTTATCGCAGCATTGCTCATAATCATAATTATGAGCAATAATTTATGCTCGAAACGTAATCAAGTAAATAATACTGTACCACTGTGCGCTATTTATCAAATAAACAAATCTAATATGGAATTACATTCTACCACAGTGCCCAAGTTTTACACTTACACCAGTACATGAAGTCTCTGACTATTTGTCAGAGCCGTTCAGGAAAGCTTGGACTGCCTCCCTGGGGTCCTTGAGATAATAGGAATCAATGGCTGGGGACCCTTGATGATATAACTGAAAACTGGTAACAATGGTTTCGGTGTATTCACTCTACAATGTCTTCTACAGTTTTAGCATTCTCACTAGCTTTGATTTCCAGATTCATTCCTCCCCCATACAATTTCGTCTAATTTTATATCACTCTTTCTCTACCCAATTTTTCTTTGCATAGTGATGTGAATCGACGCACTTCAGTACGAGGTTTTGGCTGACGATATGAGACCGAATTGGAAGAAACCAAAAAGTGATCATGCCGAGAAATGGTATTGATCTATGAAGCCTCTTTCTACCAGTCAAGGTCATGTAGGCGAATGTATGTCCCTCAGTTTACAGCTTACATGGAGACCAAAATCAATCGTTGGGGTACCGATGTGATGTAACTTGAAACCGATCGCAGTGATCCAAATGCATCCAAACCTTGTTCCTATCTTAATCAAAAAGTGATGTGCCTTGATTCTGTTTATTTCCTTTTGTTTACAACCTCCACATCGATATGCTGACGTAAGGAATAGTAACTTGTACTGTTATGTTGTATAGCTAGAATACACTTTGTGCGTACCCGTCGATCTTTGTCAATATCACAGATTTCAGGCTGTCTTAAAATCTACAAACATCAACCTCAGTTCTTTATTTCACTGTTTATTTGCTACAGCACACAGTGATAGTATTTCCCACCGGATGACACTTTGAGCACAACCAGTTTCTTATAATCGAGTTTTTCTAGAAAACTACTTGTATTAGTAAGGTTCGACATGCTATCTTTCGCTAAATGTCCACGCATCACCCTCCTGAGTGACTCCGATCGGCTATCGCGCTGTGTCTACTAACTCATAACGACACTAAGGGGTGACAGTTTTAAATTCCAGTACTAGATGGGAGGAAGGAGAGATTGATAACAGATTCTTTGTTCCTACAATCAACACCTAACATATGCAGCAGGAATAACTCATCACACAATGCAGATATTTGGAAACTTTTACTACTGTCTAGAGTAAAAGAATGAAGAACTGCTGGACGATATCACTAAAGTCTGGAAGTCGTGTGATTACTATGATATGAAAATGAGCAAACGTTCTCGTTGAAATGTCATCCAAAAATGATAAAATACTGTATAACTTAATATCGCCTAGTTAACTAGTTTACTAGTTACTTGCCGGTCCTAAGACCGGATAAAGAGGGAAGGTTGAGCATACGGCTAGCAACCCTACCCCGAAAAACCAATCCAACAGATGCAGAAACCTCAGAGCACAAAGAAAATATTAAAAATAAAATTAAACTTATTCCTCCCTCGAATCCTGGAGACGAAATGACACCAGCTAGTGAAAGCCTTCGGGAAGCCAATTGGCAGATATGTCTTCACTTCTCTCCATGAAAGCGAAAGCAAACATAGAGACACAGAATGTCCGCACAATGTTTGAACCTGTTAAGGCTCCCTAGATTGCCAAAGAGATGAGAAGGTATGGTATAGAAGAGCTAGGAATATGCGAGGAATCTACGAAATCAGATGGGATGGAAGTAAACTCTACAAACTGTCAACTGCAGTGTCAATAATCTACTCCGATATTCTCACCCAGAACACAACCACGAGCACAGCACACTAAGTTTTCGAGTGGCTATCATGATGTCCCCAACAGCATCGAAGGCTCTCTCTCAAGCAGTGGGAACCAATCTCCACCTCCACGATCAGGATCACGACAGCAAGATTCAACTCTGAAGGAAGGAAAGTCACAATCATACAATGCTACGCTACGCTATGCACCTACAAATAATGCAGTTGAAGAGAAGAAGGAGGAATTCTATAAACAACTGATATCAGTCAGTACTGGACAAGACCCCACCCCAGTTGACAACATCAAAATTCATTCTAATCGATGAGGTGACATGAATGCCAAACTGGGAGCAGACAACACAGGAAGAGAATTCATCATGGATCGAGAGGCACTCAGTGAAATGAGTGAATGAGAATGGAGAAGTGTTTGCAGACTTCTGAGCACTCAACAATTTGGTGATTGGAGGCACTGTGGACAAACAAAAAGATATTCACAAAGCGAGTGACATGGATTGATTTCACCAGACAACAGGACACACTAAAATCAGATCGACTTCATCTGAATGTGAAGAAAGTGGAGATGAAGCCTACTGAACACAAGATCAGATCACGAAGAGGAGCAGATGTAGGTTCACACCACTCACACCACAATCTCGTGCAAGGAACCTGCCTACCATCAAAATGAAGTTGACAGCCTTCACAGAAGTTGGTGATAGACCACAGCTGAAGTTGAACACCCGGAACAGAAAGTGAAGTGAAGGACGAAACTACAAAGGTTGTCTTCATGTCAGTCATCAGGACAAAAAGGGCGATATTGAGCAACATCCCTGAAGAAACCTGAATGGAAGAACACTGAAACTCTTAGAAAGAGATGTGGAAGGACATCTACATAACTGTGTTAGGAAGGAAGAAGAAACGAGACAAGGAATGGATCTCGGTGGACATATGGAAGCTCATAAAGGAGGGAGACAAAAATGGTTACGCAGAAGATGAAACAGTGCAGTGCAGTGGAGGAATGAACAATGAAAAGAGGAGCTGAACACAACATGTAAAACACCACAATGGACAAGGAAGTGAAGAAGAGTGCACACAAAGACAAAAGACACTTCTATAACACTCTTGCAAGTGAAGCAGAACAGATTGCAGGTACGAGAGACCTGACAACACTAAATCAAATAATCAGGTCACCATCTGGAAAGAGACCAACACAGCACAGATGGAACCAACGAAAGATGGTGGAGGAAACTTCGTTACCACCAAGGAGGAGAAACAAGGGAAATGATGGCTGACCACTTCAAAAAACTCTTGAATCAACCACTACCACCAGCACCAGCACCTCCAACTCTTCCAGAAATACCATCAGCAGCCCAGCCGCAGAACTACCAGTGAACACGAACCCTCCAACAAAAGCAGAAGTGAAGTCCTGAACGCTATAAAGTTACTGAAAGCCGGGAAAGCAACAGGATCAGATAGAATTCCTCCAGAAATCTTGAAAACAGACACAGAGACATCAGCTGCTGACATGCTCACACCACTATTGCAGGCTTGCAAGGAAGGAAGGAAGGAATGAAGGCGTTAGTGCCGTTGAATTGGAAGTATGTTGTCAGACAAAGGTCGATGAGTTCCATCAGACTTGAACATTTAAGTTTTGTGCGTTCTGTAAGGCTTGTGTCTTCATTGGGCAGAAGCAAGATAGTTTCCTTGGCCAACTGGAGTTCGATGGATGTTTATAGTGCTGTGACGTCGAAAGATACCATTAATTTGTCATTTTCTACGTTAATGCTTTTGATCTTTTCTAAGAATTCCGTTGAATGTTTGCATGATTGAACGAGGTGTTTCAGTTTTCTCAAAAGTTCTCTTGATATGTTGTATGTTGGAGTTCCTGGAAGTGAGACAATTGGTCGCAGAGGTATGTCTGGTTTGCGTATTTTTTGTCTGTCATAGAGCCGAAGAAGGATAGCTCCATTCGATTTCATTCTCCATTAGTCTTGCTTTGTTATTTCTTCTACTTCGAAGAGTTTGTTCAAGGTTTTATTGATCTGGTTGTCAAACTTCTGGATAGGGTTGGTTTCAAGTAGTTGATATACATTTTCGTCTTTGAGTAATTCCTCTGCTTTCCTGATGTAGTCTTCTTTGTCCATGACTACGGTAGTGCGTCCCTTGTCTGCTGGAAGTATAACGATGTCTTTACTATTTTTCAGCCTTTTTAATGTTTTCTGTTCTTGAGTGTTCATTTGAGCGCGATGTTTCATTTGCCTGGTCAGTGGTATGACTGTTTGCCGTATTTCTTGTTGAGTGACCTCATTTAATCCTGATGTTTTAAATGACGACGCTAATGCCGCGAAGAATTCTGGTTTCGTAGCGTCTCTTGTGTTGCAATTCAATCCTTTTTGAAGAAGTTCTTCCATTTTTGTAAGTGGTTTTTCTGATAAGTTGGCAACGCAGTCATTTGTTTCACCGGTTAAAGGTGCTTCTGAGATTTTAAGTGGCTTTTTCCTGAGGACGTTTCTTCGTAGTTGTTTGTATCGTCTGCTCGATTTTTCAATTGCAGTTGTCAGAGTTGTCATGTGTTGTGTCATGAGTGTGCTTTCTAGTTTTGCCTTTTGATTGTCAATCACTGATTGGTATTTCCAAATCCGATGATGTGCGTCTGTGATCATCAATTGTACCATTTGTCTTCCACTTTGTTTGGCTACTTTCCGTCTCATTGGGCAGTTAATCGGTGGTCTATATCTGACACTCTTCGGCAGAACATGCTGACGTAGACACTCATGGAAAAAGAACAGTTGTTCTCTTGTGGAAGATTACCTTCTGGAGAAGTCTTCCCATCTTCGAACAACATGAAGCGTGCTACGCTCGTATAATTTTGAAATAGTGGAGAATATTTGTAGCTCAGGTGGATGGTCTTGGTTGTATTGCGTTTTCTGAGCTGGGTTGTTTAATCGTGAAGCCTTCATCGTCCGTCTAGACGACATCATTAGTGCTGAGAACACAATAAAACCAAGACCATCCACCTGAGCTACAAATATTCTCCATTATTTCAAAAGTGGAGATGGATTGGACATACACTGAGAAGACCATTCAGAAGAATTGCGCATCAGACCAGACCCGTGAGTGGAACCCAAATGGCAAACGACGAGTTGGGAGTCCGAGAGTGATATGGAGGAGAGATCATATGAGAAAGAAATGAAAGCTTGTGGCCAGTCGTTGAGTCAGGTTCAAAAGAGTGCAACAGAGAAGAGAGTGCAATGGTGACGTGCTACTGAAGCCCTATGTTCCACTAGGAACCTAAGGGACAAATAATAATAACAAAACTCAACTCACCGTGGATCTCAACGAGAAAACCTGACTGATTAGCTAGCGTCATGATAGGGAGTAGACAGCTACATACTACGGGTAACTTCAAAGGCCACCCAACCAACTGATGATACAGCCAATCACATTCCCTCCTCATTTTATCAAAATGTACTTTCCCAGGTGAAATACCAAAACCTGATCAGTCATCTCATTTGTTGCAACGGTAGCCTTTAAAGTCACTCATATACCACTAATCAAGTGACTTTAAAGGCCACCCTAACAACAACTAAAACAACCAATCAGACTGCTCTATTTTCTTAAAATATCCTTTTCCAACAGAGATAAAGAAACCTAATTGGCTATTTCAACCATTGCTAGAGTGGCCTTTAAAGTCTCCGCACTAATTTGTTCACATAAATGAAGTACAAAATTACAATTCACTAAAGTGAAAATAAGGCGTGATTGGCAGTTGGGTTTGTTGTTCATTGCAACTGAGATTGTCTTTCAACTTTACTGATCATTGTTTGTTTGAGATGAAACCAGCTCACAAGGTCAAGGCTATTTGGTCTCATCAACAGTCAGTTCTCAGTCGTTATTTATTTCACAGTCAGTTTTCATCAGAAGTTGTCTATGAGAACTTGCAGTCAGCTTTTGATAATTCTTACAGTTATTCCTAGACACTCAGTTCCTGACATTGAGGAGATGGTGTAAGAAATGAAAGCTTCTAGGCAGTCGTGGAGTCTGGTTCAAAAGAGTGTAGAGAAGAGAGTGCAATGGAGACATGCTACTGAAGCCCAATGTTCCACTAAGAACCCAGGGGACAAATAATAATAATAATAATAAAACTGTATCACTTTGTGCTATATAACATAAACAACCTGAGATGGAACTATACTCGACCATAGTTTCTAAAATTCACTCTCAAATCGATCTCAGTTGTGGATTGAAATCCAGCCACAGGAAGCCTAGAGTTCTTCACTATGTCTTGGTCCAACCACTTCTAGGTATCTTCAATCCTACTCACATGCTAGTTGGCATAAGAGATTGAGATGAGTGAAGACTGAAAGTGAGTAGATAAGATAAGGAGTGGGTTTATTAAACTTCTAACTGTTTATTTAAGCCATGTAGGGGAAATGTAGACTTCCTAGTTAGAGTCTGTGTGACAAAAGAATTCAGTGATTGGAGACACTAGTCGGTAAGGTTTAGAATCCACCTCAGTGGTGTAGATGCATCCACAAATTACCTTCACTCTTATCTTTATGTTATATTCCACCTTCTTGTGATTTTCGATAACTCTCTTTACTGCTGCGTCTTTGTGCCTTATACCTTGATGTACTGATATAAGGGTGTGGCAACTTCGACCATGGCTTAGTAATGCCACCACCTGATTAAATAAGCTTTAAACACCTCAATTGATGCTATTTCCCCGAGTATTTCATATGATAGGATACAAAAATCAAGACAAATACTGATAGATACAGATATTAATGGACAACCTTTAATTTAATTTAATGAACTAACCTTTAATTCTTTTGGCGAACTGAAGTAAATAGGAGTATGGATGTGAGACTTGTAAGTCAAACTTGATTGTTTTCAAAAGAACTCGTTCAAATGCCATGACCTCCTCCTATAATTAAGAATTAAATAGATTGAAGAGAGAAGAGATGGAAGAGAACAGATAATTCAAGAAAAATAATTTACACTACAACATACTCTTGGATCACTGCCAAACTGTTCAAAGTCAGCATCAGATAGTAGGGATCTAGCCGTTTTAACAATATCACGAACCTTTTTAGGTGTTTCTTCCACTTTCCCAGCCAACATTAGACAACATGCTGCTGTCACCTAAACACATGCACATGTATGTTAATGAGAACTTATTGACTTACATAACGTGGAAATGCTTTAAATGAATGAAACATGTAGAATCGGTGAAAAAAGACAATCGCTGTAGCGCATGTATCATATCGTAGATTCAATTTAGTGCTAACAGCTGACAGGAATCTTGCACCTTCTCTACGATGTCGTGTCTCTGTTTCATGATCAATTTGGTCATAGTACGATGGGGTTTTATACAACTCTTCTTTTTCATAATACCAACATGGCATTTGTTGCTGTAAGGAAAAAGAGGAAGAAGTGTATCGACTGATACTGTCCATAAATAATCACCTACTTGGTCATCCATTTTGAAGACAATTTGTTGCTACTCTTTGACTGTGATGTGAGAGACACTAGATAAGGTGATATTTGGACACTGCAGAACAGAAAACAGAGAAAAATACTCCATAAAACAGATTAACTCATTAGAAAAGTATATATATATATATATAATGTGTTTTTAAATCTACTAGTCAGTTTCAACCGAATAATCACTGAATGTTAGGACCATTTAGATTACAGTCATCTGCTTATTCTCTAACGAATCTTCATTCAAATATGCGTGATCCCTCATGTGACTTGACCACTCTTACATTTTGTATAGAATACATTAACACCAATATTTGTACCCACAAGGGATTCTTTAAGGAGATCACCATCTACTACCCAGATCAACTTAGGACCAGGCATTACTGCGTAACGGTCCAACTTGCCACACCTCATATCAGTACATCAAGTAAAGAGGCAGTGAGGCGCAAGATGAAGATAAGAGAAAGCAGTCAGAAGAAATATAAAGTACTCAAAGAGAGAAACGAAGAATGAGAAAGTGGTGAGATTCGGTAAGGCGTCGTTAAGATGAGGATAATGTATGTATACATCTGCGCCATTGACATCAGTTCTGAGCCATGTGATCACCTAAAGTCAGTCTCCAACCACTGGTTCTTCCTGTCCCGCAGACCCCAACCACCTAGTCTGCATCGCCCTACATGGCTCAAACCAACAGTCAAACACTTCATACATTGGTGCCATGTTTTAGTCTGGTCACCTCGGGACTTTTCCCAGCCTGAACCTACTTCAGCCAACATTGTGTGACGAGGCAATCGGCGACTGGGCATACGTAACACGTGTCCCAACCATCTCAGTCGATGAAGCTTTACAACCTCGTCAACCGACTTACCTCTTCTCCCTAAAACTCTACTCCTGACTTCTGCGTTACTCATGTAGTGACACCACGGCATACGGCGGCATATACTACGAAGGTAACAGTGGTCAAACGCCTGAAGCCTTCTCATGTCTTCCACTTTCAATGGCCATGTTTCGCAGCCATACAGTAGAACAGACCGAAGTGCTGTGCAGTATACGCGACCTTTAGTAGATAGTCGGATATCACGGCGACACCACAGGTGGAGTAAGTTGGCGAAAGCCAATCGAGCCTTTTGTATCCGTGCAGAGATTTCACGGATAACGATATCATGCGGTTTCTCGTGATCAGATAGCTGAACAAATTAAACAGGAGTTATCAACGTCGATATCAATGATAACAATATAACTCAATCCGGTAACCCGACCGATAGTTGCTACTTCGACATGATGATTGGGTTTGAATATCACAATGAACCAATAAGTTAAGCTAGCTAAAACCCTTGTTCTTCGAAGCTTAGCCATTCCAGACAGGTCCGTATGATAGTGGCTAGATAAAAAGCAGCTACCGTTATAGCGCTAATTTATACGCTTGACGGGGTTCTAAGGGCGACGTTGTACAGTTCACTCGACAGGAGGTGACTAAAGTAAGGTGTTTCTCTTGAATAAGCGGCAGCATCAAGTTGATGCTCTTTACCCTAAGGGAAAGGGTTGTTAGAAAAGATAAGCCATGAAAACAGCACATAGACTTACTCTGAAATCTTTAGATTACCTAAAGACCTATGGGTTTATAGCAGTATTGAGGAAAAAGAAACTAAAATTTTGATGGTGTTGTGCTCTCTGAGCGCTATGGTTTAATCGGGAAGCTTTCATCGTCATTTTAGACAAAATCACCAGCACAAACGTCAGAAACTGAAGTCTCAAGCCGTTAAAAATACTGTATATAACTTGCATCAAACTGGTGTCTCGAGCGTTCTGCGGCAATTCATTACTATTACTTACTATTTTTTCAGATACTTCGAGAAGAAATAGCCTTAGATGGTATGGGTAACCGGGGGCTGCCAACCGCCCTCCCAATTCTCTTAGCATCTAATTTCTCCAAGCTCATCCTCAACATTCAACATATTCCGCTTTTTATGCTTATTTCCGTTTCCCAGCAAAAGTTCCCGGGCTATCTTCCTCTTGGCTCATCAGCTTTCGATAAGAAGTCGAGTCCCAGTAACAGTATCCCTGGTCTTCAAAAACTACGCTTCCTATCAAACACCGGGGTATCAATGTCCACACCCTTCATAAAATAAGCCAACAAGCTTCGTTAGCAATATTCTGTTACCTATAGTCGTGAATGTGTACTTAATTTGGTAAACATGAAATTCACTCTCTAAATTTCTAAGGATTTAGATGGCAGCTCGGCAACTGTAACACATATACCCCTGAAGGTTCATAAACTAATCGATCGACTTTCCTATTTTGCCTAGTGCTTTTCGGCTGACGCCAGCATGGCTCACAATGATTCCACCAACCGCCAGGAGAGCTACGGGGACGATTATGGTCAAAAACTTGTAACCACCTGATATGCCCTACTTTTAAAGGCTAAATAATACGATTGTATGGTAGAAAAGAACGAACAGCAGGGAAACAATTATCATTAAATAGGTAATCATATACCTACCCAGTCAATAATGCCAAATCTGCCTTCTGTATTCCAGCTGAGATTAAGTCAGAAACCAGTTGGTTCTAGAAAACGCAACGCCCCAAGTCATTTAAGTGGCTGACACATTCCAACAATTCACTTTCTACCCTTAGACTAGGAGTAGGTGTAGACCAGTCCCGGAGCAAGATCTCGCATTTGGCAACTGCGAAACACGTGCCAGCCACATATAATCAGATTTCTGCGTTGTGAGCTCTGAAGTGCTGGTCGGAATCAAATGAAGCGATTGTCAGAACGAAGTTCCAAGAGACGATCACCGTTGTTGGTTCATTGGCATGGGATTCCATAGATACCTCCGAGATGCCTTTCCGATCGACTCAGCTTTTCTATTTCAGCGTAAAAGTCACCTCCAGTTACGACTATATCTGAACGTTTTGATTTCCGTAGCAAAATCGGCAACTTCTGATAGAACTCATCCTTTGCATCACCCGAATTACGGTCGGTGGGTGAGCAAGCGGTGATAATGAATAGTCATCGGCTAGTCTCATAACCATTCCTAGTTTTTACAGATCCATCCAGTCGAGAAGTCCTCTTTGTGCTCTGGAACTCAATGCTGTGTCTATGCTAGCGAGTTCATGAGAGCAATGGATCGGGTTTTCTGATACTCGTATGGTGAATTTCCAAGATTCACTCCAATGGTCAGATAAGGTTAATTTAATAACCACACTCTAGAATTTCGGCATGGAGCTCGGACTCTGAAACCTCCAATATGAAACTGGTAGTTGGGGTCCTAGGAGACTAGGAATGGTTTTTCGATGGTCTTAATCGTTGGCAATGGTGATAAAGTGAGAGATTGAGAAAATTGTGCTAGGAAGTGAAGACAAGGGAGGAGACAGAGTCAAGGTGGATAGGTTAGGTTTATATTAGATCGGATTTCAGAGTACAGCGCCTGTGATGAAAAGAAGACCTATACGCTGTTTGCTGGTTTGTGACTTAATGGTTACCGCGAACGTACTTGGAATTAAATAGTCAGAGTTGCGGTAGGGGGTTGAAATACGAGTTGTGAATAGGTCTCCAGATGTGTAACGTAATACCGAAACGTAATTAAATGTGAATTTCCCATGTATATTATTTTCTTATTTCGGTAATGGGAGACGCATAAGAAGTACTCTAGAATTAGCAAACAGTGTAAAACTAACATGCAAGAAATCTTTCCTTTGAAGTTAATCGTAATCCTCAGCAAAATTGTGCATAAAATTGTTGATAATCAGAGTCACCTTTTCAATAATTCAGAATTTCTGGAAGGACTACAGTCATCAACATGATTAGTAGTTTTGGAGTTACTCAAGGATGACATAATTCCATAGTCCCACCAAACTGATTTTTTACATTCGTTGGTAGTACTCTTCAAAAAGTAGCTTACTGTGTGTTGTGAAAGCTTTCGTTCCTTCCTCCTAACATAATTCTATATCTTGTCCATGCATGTGATTGCTGGGCGTGCGTAAAACGTGTCCCAGTCACCCCAGTTTGTAAACGTTCCCAATCTCACCAAATATCTTTCATCCCTTACTCGAAACTATGCCTCATCTTAATATTGCTTATACTGGTGCTACTGAACACAAGCAATGGAGAAAAGAACGGAAACGAAAACATGAATGGGTTATCTAAACAACAGTTTCAGAGATATATCCAAAGAAGCATTCAAAACTTCAGTTTTCGGCAAAGGATGGAAGCTGCAGCGTGATCATCACTTGTTTCCATTCTCCATTATCGTCTGAAGCCGCCGAGTTGCACAATCTCCCATACTCCAAGCAGTGAGATGGGAGGCAGTTACAGATGCTAATCCAACATAACTATCCATTCCACACAGCCAAGTCATACACCTCACCTCTCTGCCTCTTTCAACCAGTTCAAAGGCAAGCGAACAGTGGGTGGTATGAGAGATCAGTCAACACTGGAGGACGTGTTATTGCTGCGTAATGCTTCGAGTTACCAAATCTCACATGGGTACATTAAGGTAAGAGGCACTTATATTAAAGTTTAAGAGAGAAGAAAAGAAGTATCAAAAGTGCCAGAAAGTCGAAAGAAGTAGGAAAGATAAGACAACTATAGGATTCGGTACGACGACTAAACTAAACTTGGTGTAGATGCATCTGCATCATTATGATCAATTCTAAGCAATTTTAACTGGATTCTCTAACCAAAAATTTTGGTTATCATGACGACCCCGGACGCGAAGTCAGCACTCCCCTACACCACTTAGACCAATAGTCAGACTTCATTGACTGATACCATATCTCAACCGGACCTTTGACCATACAACTGTGCTCTAATTGCCCATCCCCCAAAAGCCTGCGAGGGATATTTATATAGGGTATTTTAGCATTCATGGAACTATGGAGTCCCAGTGGGAAGTGATCAGTAAGGTAATGAGGAATATTCTCTGAAGTACTACACTGACGATAACTTGTTTCCAGCCAGCACCAACTTCCGACACAGTTACTGTCGATGTGCCACCTGGTGTCCTTCCCGCTGCAATCCAAGGTCGAACTAGAACATATCAAATTGCAATCAGCTACCGATGGAAT